AAATATATATATATAATATTTATATATATAATTATTAATATAAATATAAATTATAATTAATTTAATTAAAAATTCAATATAAACAATATTTTTTTTTATTTATATGTTAATATTTAAATTTTGTGTTTTTTATTTTTAATATGTAAATATCAAGAAAAAATTCTAAAATTATATTTAATTCGTTATTTATTTCATTATTTATAATTATATATAATTATTTAATAAAAATAATTCCAATATTTATATAAATAATTATTTTTTGACCAGCTCTTAGCATACGGTATAATGTAATAAAAGCATAGTTTAAAGATAAAGTAAATTTTAAAATATTGATTTATATATTTATTTTTTTTGTTGTGTATAAGGTCTGGGTAATTATATGGTGCTGTGGAATAATTATTTTTAATTTTGACCCTCCAATAAGTTTCTTGTAATATTGTTATCAATAATATTGTCAAGGTTCGTTGTTTCAGCTCTCATAATAAAAGAAATAATTATCCAGCCGTCGCCTGTTGCAGTATGTTCAGTTTGGAACTAATGGCCGTTTTTGTCAATTTCTGTTGTTCCGTTCCCTTGTGGAATTATAATAGGTTCATTACCATTGATACAATAAGTTCGAATTCAAAAGGTACTACCCTTCGTGGTAAATAAGAACAAACCTAGTCTAGCTTTTCCATAGCTCCCGGAATTCCAGATATTAAATGCCAAATAGGTCTTCAATTTTTCCAAATTTATTATGGTCGTCATTAACATCACCAGGTACAATATCCTGTGCATTTGTAACTCCTGAAGTTGTTAAATCAATTATATTGGTATTATTTAAACCATTGGCATATATATAATAATGCGAGAGAGAGAGAGAGAAAAGAGAGCGAGCGAGTTGGATGCCAAATGATATGAAGGTTTTGCAGCTGATAGGGGGTCTTTGGAAATGGATTCTAGGGTCCGTGGTGATTTAGTTCTTCCTCTGATTGTGTGATATATGTTTTCCATTATTTATTTCTTTATCTATCTAATCTTATCTATTAAGGTAGGTGGTCTTGGTATATACGGGTGAAAATGATCCCAAAGGAAAGATCATCTTGGGTTAGTGTCCCTTGGATGTTTCAATATATTGTTAATTCTTTTCCGCCATTCGGTAATCATGCCAAGATGGGAATTGGCAATTATTGTCTCCATCCATTTACCCTTCTATTCGTGGAAGTGCCAGTCAGAACAAACGATCACCATTCGATCGTAGTTCCAAAAGGTTTTTTTTTGGGTTGGGTACTTTGATAAAATATTGAATATATTTTCTATATATATATATATGTATATCAATATATGCAGCCGATAGGGGGTCTTTGGAAATGGATTCTAGGGTCCTTGGTGATTTAGTTCTACCTCTGATTGTGTGATATATGTTTTCCATTATTTATTTCTTTATCTATCTTATCTTATCTATTAAGAAAGGTGGTCTTGGTATATACTAGTGAAAATGATCCCAAAGAAAAGATCGTCTTGGGTTAGTGTCCCTTGGATGTTTCAATATTATTAATTCTTATCCTTGTTTCGGTAGTCATGCCGAGATGGGGGTTGATAATTAGTCTCTCCATCCATTTACCCTTCTATTTGTGGAAGTGCCAGTCAGAACAAACGATCACCATTCGATCGTAGTTCAAATAGTTTTTTTTTGGGTTGGGTACTTCGATAAAATATAGAATATATTATATCTATGTTTTGCAATTGATCTGGGTTCTCTGCAAATGGATTCTTGGGTCTTTCCAAATATTTAATATATGATAATGGAATTGAATTGTATTATATAGGTACCTTATTATTTTCCCTATGAGGTAACCAATTGGTTGATTAAATTGGTATCATCTTACCATTGGTTATTTAATGTAACTTCTTTTTTTTACCATGCTCATAGAAAATTCTATGTGCATTATTATGTTCACTCTTAGGCAACCACTTGGTTGGCTAAATTGATATCATCCCAGTATCGGTTACGGTTATTTTATTTTATTATATTCCTTGGATTAATTGGGGTCCATTACCATTTCTGAAGGGTACCCAAAAAAAAAATGCGGGATCAAAATGGAAAAGGTATCAACCACGCTCTTGTTTTTTCTAGGGTGGTGCCCCCATATACCTTTGGTATAAAGCCACCAATGTTATCCCTGATTGTCACTATTTTTTTTTCAAGTACTAAATTTCCCCCATTATTTCTACGTCTACATCATATATCCTTTAAATGCATTGTCCAGCAGCTAATTTGCCGAAGTCAGGGCGCAGAAATCAGCACCCTGAGTTAGGATTTTTTTTTTTTTTTGACGATATCCTAGGTGCTTGGTGGGGTATTGCCTAAGTAAGGTCGCAAAAATCTGCACCTAGACTTAGGCAATACAGAGGTTGCACCCTGGGATTTAGGGAAAAAAAAAAAAATGACGATCTCAGGGTGCAGAAATTGGCATGTGGACTTAGGAAACAGCCCTAATATTATATTCTACCATGATTTTTGCCGCAAAGGATTTGGGGTCCTTGATTTTGAGATTTAGGCAAAAAAAAAAATTGCCGATCTTTTGGCTTGGAGGACCCCGTATCCATCGCATCCGAACATCCGTCGCATAATAATATGTTTTTTAAATATTTTATCGAAGTACCCAACCCACAAAAAACCTATCTGAACTACGATCGAATGGTGATCGTTTGTCCTGACTGGCACTTCCACAAATAGAAGGGTAAATGGATGGAGAGACTAATTATCAACCCCCATCTCGGCATGACTACCGAAACAAGGATAAGAATTAATAATATTGAAACATCCAAGGGACACTAACCCAAGACGATCTTTCCTTTGGGATCATTTTCACTAGTATATACCAAGGCCACCTACCTTGATAGATAAGATAGATAAAGAAATATATAATGGAAAACATATATCACACAATCAGAGGTAGAACTAAATCACCAAGGACCATAGAATCAAATTCCAAAGACCCTCTATCGGCTGCATATATGGATATATATATATAACTAATATATGTTCATATTTTATCAAAGTACCCAACCCAAAAAAAACTATTTGAACTACGATCGAATGGTGATCGTTTGTTCTGACTGCCACTTCCACGAATAGAAGGGTAAATGGATGGAAACACTAATTATCAATCCCCATCTTGGCATGATTACCGAATGGCGGATAAGAATTAACAATATATTGAAACATCCAAGGGACACTAACCCAAGACGATCTTTCCTTTGGGATCATTTTCATTAGTATATACCAAGGCCACCTACCTTGATAGATAAGATAGATAAAGAAATAAACAATGGAAAACATATATCACACAATCAGGGGTAGAACTAAATCACCAAGGACCCTAGAATCCATTTCCAAAGACCCCCTATCGGCTGCATATATTGATATACATATATATATATAACTAATATATGTTCATATTTTATCAAAGTACCCAACCCAAAAAAAACTATTTGAACTACGATCGAATGGTGATCGTTTGTTCTGACTGCCATTTCCACGAATAGAAGGGTAAATGGATGGAGACACTAATTATCAATCCCCATCTTGGCATGATTGCCGAATGGCGGATAAGAATTAACAATATATTGAAACATCCAAGGGACACTAACCCAAGACGATCTTTTCTTTGGGATCATTTTCACTAGTATATACCAAGGCCACCTACCTTGATAGATAAGATAGATAAAAAAATAAATAATGAAAAACATATATCACACAATCAGAGGTAGAACTAAATCACCAAGGACCCTAGAATCCATTTCCAAAGACCCCCTATCAGCTGCAAAACCTTTATGGTAACTGCAGGAAACAGGGCACCACAGGTTGAATTTCCCTCATCGGTTTTACCCGTTCTGCGAATGTGCACAGCAGTATTTGCTTGGTTTACGCCAAGTTTAATGGACTGCCCTGTATGGTCTCAGGTTATCGCTTTTGGGGGGATTATCGCTTTACAGCGTTTCGTGCACATCTCTGACAAAAAAACTCCTGCAATACTAAAGTGGTCTTCAACCATTTTGACCGTGACTCATATATATATATATATATTTATATATATATACATAATTATTTGAAACATACCATAATGTTGTTTATCCCTCAAGAGTTGGCCGCGCTCCCGAAGCAGCTCACAAACCCCACCAGCGGTTTGGCTGAATTCATTGGGCAGAACATTCTCACAGGTCTCACATCTGGAATCTCGTCAATTTCACACTGTGAGAAGCTTTCAGCATCTTTCAGCAGTGAATCACGCCACTCAGATTCACTCAAATGCAGTTGGAAGCAGTGATACCATCAATCCGTCGCACCCGTTTCTTAAGCTGGCCAGGTGGGGGGAGAACCTTAGCTCCACTCAGTAACTTCACCGAACGCAGTGCGCCAAGCCAACGGGATCCGGCTCCATCCGAGTACATCCGGGCAATGGGTACGAAAGTGGTACTAAGAGACGCACTGAGTGACCTGCCATCGAAGCTCGCAAGGAATTCGTTGGCACCGGGAGCCTAGGAAGGACACCCCCCGCAAATAACATCAAATAACATAGAATAACATCAAATAAGTATATAAAAATAACATAATACTCAATAATATTATAATGACTCACCAAAAGTACCAAACACGTCCAAACACGTCCAAACACCAACTGTGATGCCTCTCATGGTCGTGGGATCATGGAATGGTCGTTTTGACAAGTCAAATAAATAGATTTGGGCTTGCGTCTTTGCTCCCCAGAACTCATCAAGCATCATTGAAAAGCCATCTCCGACCTGCTATGCTCAGCTCCCTGAGATCTCTCCAAAGCTGCAACCTGCCCAGAAAACAGTTGATTGCAGCACTTTTAGCACTTGTGCAAGAAGAAAACCTGTTCAAGGGATTTCAAGGGAGCAAGGGTCAGGCAAACTTGTCTTGCTGCATGCATCTCAACTTCCTGTTTGATCTGCAACCGGTTCTTGGGATTCTGCCTCAAAGAATGATAATTGCATACAGTAATGATTCAGCATACACTTACCGACTCTCTCCCTGCAATCTCAAGCCAGGTTTGCCGCCGCCAAGGCAGCATCTGCGGCTTTTGCAGTACCGGCAAAAGCCTCACCTGGAATGTTGACTTGGCTTTCTTCGCAAGACACAGTCACACCGCACGCGCGCACAGAGATGGTATGTCTCGTGATACGCAGGTCTGATGTTTTTGAAGTCTCATAAAGTGTGCGTTGGTGATGGAACAGGGAAAGGGTCCCGCAAGCGCAATAGGCGATGCACAAGAGGGCGCATCAACTTGAGTTCGCGGCTGCTTTCTTTGCAAGCTTTCTGATGATCATTCAACAGTCGCAAGGCCTCCGAAGAACTCATTGAGAGAATCATATCGAGGCAAAGTCCAGGGAATTCTGCCCAAATTATCTCAAAATCAACTTCTCTTCGTTTCTCTGCGGCTGGTCGTTTCGACGAGTTGCACCTCGGTGACGGCCTTCTGGCACCTTGTACGGTGTGCCGCCCTCTCCTTCTCCATTTTGCGAACCTCCTGCGAATAGCTGGTGAAACGGTGAAACGAGTTGTCGTTGTCTGAAATATTGCAATACTGCAAGACATTGCAATACATTGCAATAATACATGCACTTGCAAAGCCACAAGTTTGGACTAAATCTGAGCCCATGATCCAAAAGAGAAGTACAGAGACCAAGTCAACGGTCCTCAGAAAGCCTGCTTACAGATGCCCAAATCGTCTTCGAACACACTTCCTTTATCACCTCAACAGATGGGTGACAGATTTTGTCTCTGCAAAGATGCCAAGACCACCTGACAAAATCTGACACTTGCTACTCACTTGCTCGCCTCAGCCCGACTCTTGACCTTGCGCACAGGCTTTCGCTTCCTGCAAACAGAGTTCTCTACTCACCACCCAATGGCATAATAAGGTATAATAAGCATGATGGCGCAAGATGGCGCAAGATGGTACAAGAGTACAAGCGCTGAGACATGTGGGACTCGTTACAACCGCTTGTGCCTTTGTGTCGAGCTTGGGCTACGTCGCCTGCAACGCGGTGTACTCTGGGCTCTTAACATGCGCACCATCAGACCTTGAGCCATCATGGCGCGTGAAGCTTTAGCCTGATGCTTGATGGAGGGGTGGAAGGACCCGGAGGCGGCGCCTGACACAGACCCGGGAGAACTGGATGGTGAATCTGGCAAAACGATGCAAAACGATGCAAAATGCAACAAGTAAGAATAAAGAGGGACAAAGCCTTGCAAGGAAGATTTCATTAGGGTGGTCGTTGTCTGTGTGTGTGTTTTAAGTGTTCTTCTCTACGCGTTTTCACAGTCTGTCCTTGCATCGATATCGCCGGCGGACCACTTCTTGGCTCGCCTTGCAAGGTCCAAATAGAACTGGCATGAACTGGCCATTTAAACTCAACGCATCTGCTCTGATACAGCAACGGTCGACTCGTGCATCCAAGCTTTGGTACAGTGATGTACACAGCCCCAACTTGGACTGACACCCCAGATCCGGCAAAAGTGGCAAGAGCCGCAGCTAGTGCAGCAGCTGCTTCTGCCACACCACTCTGTGGTGCCTGGACGGAAAGACAAAGGAATCATAACTGTTGTAACTCATGAGACTTTTGAGGATTCCGTGAGGATTCGTAAAGATTCACAAAGGATCTTGATGGATCTGCGAGGAAATAATTCTTGTCTGAGTCTGTTCTCCTGGAAGGCCGCAGGTGCTTGTGCCGCCCGGAGTGGTGCCTGCAAAATTCTCAGGTGCAATTGACTCAATTGAGCACACGTATCAAAACTGCACTTTCGCGCCGTTGTCAAGAACGGTTTCAAGAACACTTCTAATTGATATCCATGAATGGCACTTTCCACTCACTCAGATATTGTGGATGTCAGATGCTTTAGAAGATATTGGAAGTGTCTAGTATCGTGCATTCGGTGTTAGTGTCTTCTTGCTTAGTCGGTTTGAAATATCTTTTGGACTTTGAACACAGATTTCCCAAGTGCTTAGGCTACGAAGCTGTCCAGCTTCGCCTGCTTTGCAGGCACCGCTTCTGGCATGGCCGCCTCCACCGAACGGCACTTGCCAAATGGCCAGGCTGTGAAGGGAAGATCAAGGAATATAAATAATTGTACATGTGTATACGCATAAGATCGTATAAGATGTATAAGTATATATAACATTATATAACCGAGAACCATACATCCAGTCCAGAGATGGAACCAAAGTGCTGGAGTCAAAAGGTGATAGTAGCCGAATCATAGCTAAGAGACTTGCAAAGGTTCCACAAGGAAATCATCTTCAGGAATGTTCTCCCAAGTGCGCAAAATAAACCTTTTCTTCTGAAGCTTGCAACGCAAGCGAATCATCACATGAGACTTTGCCATCCTTTCGAACCAGTGGAGGCTTGCAAAAAGGCCAAGCAACGCATGGCTGCAAGCATGGGAACAAATTTCGGCTTTCTGAGTGCATTGGAACAAATTTCGGCCCAGGAGGGCTGCCTTTGGCATATACCCTCTGCAATGGGCTTGGCACAGCTAAGGCTACAGTTGCATTGTGCAATCGCCATTTGATGCACTGCCAAGCACAAATATTTACATTCTGAATTTATGTCTGCCGTTGATGTCTCTGATATTCAAATCAGAAAAACAGAACAGAACAAAGAATGTTGTTGAAGTTAAGCAGATCAAGCGTTGCCAACGACAGACATCCCAACTTCCCTGAAGCCAGAGGTCCACCTGCAGGTTCCGTAGTCCTTCTGATCACTCTTTTGGCTCCTGGGTGTTGTGTTGCCAACTTGGACGCTTCCAGAAAGCCTCAGCACTGTGGTGTGATGGTCACCAGATTTTCAGACTTAGGAATATCGCATCCTGTTGGCCCTGAACCTAGCCGGAAAATCATGGAAAGTTTCCCAAACCAGGGGACACCCCAAAGCCAACTTCAGAAACAGGAAACACATATCACAGGAAACCGCCCCTATTTGGGAAAAAAACAAATGAATCCAAACGGCGGTAGTGCCATTTCTTTCCTACGATGTTCTTGCTGCACTTCTTTTTTCGGCTTCCACATTCCAAAGATAATGCATAATATGTTATAAATATTGTCTGCAACAGAAGCAAACCATCAAGCATCCTCATGCATCGTCTTTCATCCACTTCATCCTCTTGGCATCTCTTGGCTTGTGAAAATGCTCTGAGAGTCCGGCCTGGCAGAGTCAAAGCCTGATGCATGCGATCTGTTCACCCCACTTGCTGCAGATTCGGAGGGCGCTCCAGATCCTTCTGATTGTTGCGATCGCCGCGTTGCTGCTGCCTCGCTTAGGCCTGTGGGCACTCGCATCTCTCCTCTTTCTCCTCTTTCTCTTCTTTCTCCTCTTTCTCCTCTTTCTCCTCTTTCTCCTCTTTCTCCTCTTTCTCCTCTTTCTCCTCTTTCTCCTCTTTCTCCTCTTTCTCCTCTTTCTCCTCTTTCTCCTCTTTCTCCTCTTTCTCCTCTCCTCTTTCTCTTTTGCCTTGAGAGAAGCCGTAACGGCCTCTTTTGTCTCCATGTGAACTCCAATAGTTCGGCCCCTCGTATTGTGCTCTGTAAGGAGATTTAAACTTCCATTGCTCCAAGACAGAAGAATACACCGGTGTAGGATTCTGCCATTCGGGTCTCTCTTCCGCATCATTGCTTGTAGTATTTTCCCAGACATCAAGCACATGCCGTGGAACCGTGACAGGAGTAGATTGAGATGCACATTTGAAAACAAACTGGCAAGCAGCAGGACAATCTCGTCCAGAATGCCGGATGCTCATGACTTCGTTTTGCCATTTCCTTGAGCGCGTTCTGACGACATCAAACTTGTCAGAAGCCATGACCAAAACGCAATGCACAACGCAATGCCAAGCGGGCCAAGCGCTCAGAGCCAAAATGGTCTCGGGGAAGAACGCTCACATCAGACTGTCCGAGATCAAATTCAAATGGACAAGTTTGACCTGTCGATGAAAACTTTTCTGTATCTGCAAACCAGTAGAGATTTAGGATGATTTAGGTATAGAATAGATTGGGGAAGTCAAACGTAATGCAATTTGACTGGTGGTGAAACTTGTTCTTGTTTCCCAAACTGTTTGCTTGCCTGTGATGCTGGCAAGGTGTCAAGGCTGGATGGTGGCACATTCGACAGTGGTGTTTGCCTGATTCCACAGGGGACTGCATTGCGCAAGTAGGTGATTTGGTTGAAAATTAAAATGTTTGGCCTAAGACAAACAATGATTAGCAGCTTTCCCACTTGAATCCAAAAATATTTGAGCATCTTTGAGCCATCTGAGTCTGACACGTTGACATGGATGCCAACACATCACGCGGATCACGTTGAGAACCGCACCTGAACACTGTGACTCGCGGCTCGTGAATGCAACAAATCCAACCGTGATGCATTTCTCTCTCTCTCTCTATCTCTGGGAACGGAAATCTGCTGATGTGTCTTCCATGTCCAGTTTCTTGGATTGCGGCTTGTCTCCTGCCAATGTATCAGCCTGGGACAACCTAGAGCAAAGCTTTCTGCAGCTTCGGAAGTTTCTATTCATTTCTAGGGACCCAATACACCAAAATAGAATGCGGTTTGGCTGTACGGTACTGTGGGACAAGGATGGAACAATGTAACAATAGAAAAGTCCTGAAAGTGCATGCAATTGCCATATCTTGGCCAAGGGCGGCAATTGCGATGAGTGCAATTGTGATGACGGCAATTGCGAAGACGGCAATTGCGAAGACGGCAATTGCGAAGAAGGCAATTGCGATAACGGTTGAGTTGCAGATGGCCTGTGGAAAACGATGGAAAATGACTCACAATGCCACTCCCTCAAACTGGTTGCGACATAGCCAACTTCCAAGTTTAACAATTTTGTGCACTTGAATTGTAAGATAAATTTCATAACCACGAGTGCCCGGCTGCGAGCATGGCACTGGATCCGGCTGAGATGAGCCCAGCATAGCTCGGCCTCCGACCCCATTGACGTGGTTATCCAAACTCAAGAAATACTGAGCAAATTTGCCTCGGCCCCGTGTCCTCGCAGCATCCAATTTGGCAGGCTTGGTGGCCTAAGACAACAAGCCCCCTTGTCACAGTATGTTAAGAGAAAAACAACTAAGTCAGCAAATGGCATCACATGGCATCACAAATATGACCAAGGAACCGAAGCTCGACGCTCAGTGTGTAGCTGTGCAGCACGGCCTGATGAATTATATAGCCAAAATGCAGTGGGAACCATCAGGTAAGTGTGCTGCACGTTTCTTCTCGGTGCGTCGCGTTGCTTCACTCTAACACTCTGAATGTAAGGTCTGCACGTAAGGCACGCAAGGCCTGAGCAGCAGCTCCACCAGACCTGAGGTTGGAAGGACTCAGGTCATCTCGACCATAGACCGGACGCACTCCACAGACATGTTATGTGCCTGTGGTTTTTCAAGGGTCTCTAAGGCCTGGACGTACTTGCCGAAACCATGGTTCGTTTGGCGCAGCGTCTAAGCGTGGACTGCGAATCTCAATGTCTCTTGTGAGCTCTGATAAGAGCTAGCTCTGAGTTTCAATGCGAGACTGATGTGCAAAGTCATTCCTCGGTCCTTTGATTTTGACAAATCGGATGTTGACATGTTGGCAGGGTTCGTTCAAGTTTTCATTAAATGTCCCTTCATCCTTACATTCAAATATTGGGTTTCGAGCCAAAGGTTGAGGTCGAGTCGCGTGTACAGCATCTAGTATGTCGGTCGTACATGCCATGTAGTGGACAAACATGGTACTAAGGTCCAAGTCCAAGTTTCCTTATGCGTCTGGCTCTCTAGTAATGGTCCGCATCGCAGCCCATTCGGATATCTTTTCAGACTCGACGTTGTGGTATTGCTCGGGAACGATTCACATCCTAAAATGTGCCCGTCCACCTCATTCTCAATACCCCTCAATACATCGGCCGAGAAGTGGAGATGGCAACATCGGCCAACTCACCCTTCTCACAGGCACCTGAGATGTGAGAACATGATAAACAAACATCAAACTACGGCAAGATCAAAAAAAACATACTGGTACCGTAGAGTTGGATTTGACAGCAACGCACAGCTTTGATCCGTTGTTTCAGCCAAGATGCAAATCACTGCATTGAAAGTCAGTTCATCTGGCAAATCATCCTGATCTCTATCCATCACTTCCAGAAAGCATAGACATTCACGCCACCGACTGCACTTCTCACATGAAGCAAGAACTGCATTGTAGCTTGCAGTGTCGAGCTCAACTGCTGTACTATGAAATGACAGCAAGGACTTCAAGGCAATCTGCCATGTAGATGCACTAGTTTGAACTGCGATGGAGTCTGCCAATGACTGGTCCAAAAGGTGCAATACGGAGCAATGACTTGTCTGACTTGCTTCAAGTTGAGCTGACAAAATCCTTTCGAAGACTTGCGCAGCCAAGTTCCATCGCCGTCCAAGAACGCTCAAAACAGAATTCAAAGAAATTACATCATTCTGCAGCCCTTCTTGGCTAATAGTCTTCATCAAACAAAGAGCCTGTGGCCAAATCTCCTCTTGAAGGCATGCTGCTGTTGCACTGTAGCTGGTCACATCGGCATTCGAATGTTGCAAAAGGTCAAAAGCTGCAGTCCAACAATTGCTTCTCTCAATTGTCTTGATTGTTGCGCTGCAGATCATGCATGATAGTTCGTGCCGATTCCAACGTAAGTCCTGCAGGAAAGCCAAACTCTCCATCCAGGTCTTGATCGACATGAGAATAGCATGGGTGACTTGATCACCTTTTACCTTCCTTGCTATCTGTTTCCACCACGCCAAGGCCTGGTCCCACCTAGCCGACAAATGCAGCAGACAAGTGTTGACCGTCACAGCATCAGGATGAATCTGAGCTTCATTGGCAGACTGAAAAAATGAAACTGTTCTTGACCACTTTCCATCTGAAGAAGCAACGTGACCAGCACGATTGTACCATTTCATCGTGGCACGGATGCTCCCAGCTATCATTTCTTGCAAAAAGACTGAAGCATGTCGCCACCGGTCACCTGTGAGCATGTTGTAGGAAACTGCATCTGGGCGAACAAAGAGTTGGGGAAAAGTGCGCAGCAATTTCAATGCAGCTCTCCATTGAAAAGCTTTGCTGCAGGCATGTAGTTCAACATTGCAGCAAACAAGGTCATAATCAAATCTTCTGGGAAGGGACAAACATTGAATCACTTGGCACCATTGTGCAGAGATACTCATAGCTTGAAGGATGTGTGTAGAGGTGCTTCTATGCAGAGGTATACCCATGCTGTTCATTATCTCCATATTTTGCAATCCTAATATCCATCTTGAGTTCATGACATTCGGCAGACTCTGGTTCTTGTCAATCTCATTCAGTGATTTGAGAAGTGCATTAAAGGTAATTCTGTCAATCTGCTGTAAGCTTCTGTGTGCCTCCCTGATGAGGCTTAGTGCCAAATCCCACCGCGTTCCTGAGCATCCCCCAAGAGCGTTGAACGAAATGACATCTGGCGGGCCTACGAGCAAAAGGCTCTGAAAGTGGCTCAAAGCCTCAAGCCACAGACGTGAGGATGAAATCAGTGAGTTGTAATGGGAAACGCTCTGCTTCACTCTGAGGGTTGGAAGCTTCTGTACCAATTTGAACGCGACATTCCATTGGGATTTCCGAATGATGCGGCTCCATTGAAGACATCGAAGCTTGGAAGGCTCTGGCTGGAGGGATGATGTCATAGTCCTCCAGGTATCTATGGTCGCGGACGATGGAGACCGTGATTCGGTTGACGAATGTCTCAGCTTTCTCATTCTATTCATTCTCCAGTGTCCATCTTTGGTCCTGGGTCTTTGCTGAACCAAGCTCAAGACACTGGATGAATCCGAACCAGGTTCTTTTTCAGTATCCATCACGGACTCGTTGCCGCCTCAGAGTTGTGACCTCCAATCATCCAACTGCTGTAGATCAGCTTTGCACTCGAAGCTTCAACTAGTGGTGGATTTTTCAAAAACTCTGTGGTTGACTTTCTCCTTGTACCATGGACTATAAGTCCACGAAAATTCGGCAGAGCAGGGGCTAGCGCATGATTAAGCTTGCACGGCAGTGTTGGTCCTGGCTATGCTTGAGCGCAAAGTGCCTTTATCCCCCCCTGGCAACAAATCCCAACGCTTCAAATCCTGAAAAACACCCATCAAACCTATAAAGCAGAAAGGCTTGGAAGCCTGGCCTTTTCAACCAAATCCAAATCTGATCACATCACCGTACAAGGCCAAAATGTCCAAATGGCAAAGAGGGCACGGAGAGTAGAAATACTTTCTGTTGCAACTTGTAAGTGAATACGTTACGACTGTTCTGTAGGTTCATCATGGCTCCCTGAGTGTATAGATACTCACGGATCTCAGAACAAACGGTACAAGTGGTATGATCCGAATGGCCCGGGAGGATTTTGTCTAATCCCTGAGTTCTTGCACGTCATCCAGCTTCAAAACTTTGGAAGCAAAGCAAGATGCTCTGGCTAAAGGATGCTCATGCGACTCACGTACATCACTAGAGCACTCATAACCTCTTCATCCCTCTTGACCTTGGCTGCAAACATAAAAGAAGTCACTGGGCAGCCAGGATGGCTTAACACGTGTGAGTTTATGGGAAAAACATGGAAAAACAAATGCTGACTGTAGACTATAATATATATATATAACACATCAGAAGAATCAAGAAGGCATCATTTCACGATCCATCTTGGTCATGAAGAAGCCCCACTACAAGATCTATTCCAGTGCAAGCAGTCGAACCACATGCGGTCAAAAACTATCACAAAAACTTGCTGGTGCTGATGCTTGCAAAGTGCATTCAAGGAGTCGATCTTTTCAGCCTTGTTTTTGAACATTGTTTTGCATTGAAAAGGAATTATTGCTGCTGCTTGACTCGAACTAATATATGTCGAAAACTACTCTTGAGCAGTGTGCTCTTGATGGTTGCACCGATCCAGCACTGCTGTCCCATCAGCTAAGCTGCTGACCTGCTGGCACTGTGTACTCCGTGTATTTCCTGCGTAACCAAGGAGCTCGGGCGAAGTCCCTTGCAGATTAATTGCATGTGAATTCATGGATTCCATCCTTTACAACGAAAGTCCTGCAAATGAGAAAGTTCAAGAAGGATAGCATAGGTAGGTAGCACAAAATAGCAAAATGGAATTGAAAGACACAAGGAAAGGGTTGGTGGGGTAACACAACCAGCAGTTGCATTGTTTGCCCGCAATGAAGCGTGAGAAATGAATAAGTAATTATTACCTATATTCAGTGAATTGCTGTTCAAGGCCCGCTTCAAAAATGGATTCTGTCTCTTTCAAGTTCATGGGAATACCTAAAGTGGTATCTCTATCTGCAAGAATTCTCGTTGGTGTATCCGTCATCTGTCCTGCTGCTACCGCGAACAAGGCCAGCTGGATATTTTGCAGCCTCAGCTCCATCTGTCTACATCCAACACTGTGTCCGTGGGCAAACAAGAAAGTATATGAAAGATTATGGAAGTATATAGAAGTATGACATCACTGCACCGGATCCATCCGGATCCCTTCCCTGGATGGGTCGGATAGGTATAATTAGTCTTGATGGATCTTCCGGGGGGCAAATTTTGTCAGCATCTTCCGGAGCTCCTTCAATGCAATCGCAGGAGGAACGAGGCAGCCGACAAATGGCTGACTCTGAACCGTCGACACAAAAGCAACCTTGAGCTTTCATTGAACATTGCAGTAATGAACATTAGAGTTTCTGCTATAGGCTGATTATTTCTGACCAGAGAAAATGATCGAAACTTAAGGTCAGCTGCGTCCAAGCTACGTTGACTGCGAGCTTTTCTAATGCAGCTTTGGGCAGGTCAATGTGGCACTGCGACGGTGCAACATTGAGAAGGTTGGCAATCGATCGATGCGCTATGCTGCATATATCTGAGCATTTGATAAAATGTGATAAACTGTTTAAAACATCTCTCACAGATTTGGAATGCTTTGCAAGTGGTCAAAGGCCCACCTTGTGGCTCAGTCGGATCAAATAGAGAAAAACATCGGCTACTTCCTGATGCAGCGAACGAAATGAAGACACTCCCAACCGAAGCTTCCCTGTTGTACCCATCGGGCATGTTCTCACCATTTCTCACCTACGTACTACTGAAGCCAAGCCTTTCTCGAGGTATCTAATGTTGCGTCCATTGGTCCATGTGATTTGCTCTACACCATGCAACATAGTATGTCATAGATGTGTGTCGCTAGTCCATACAACATGCCTGCTTCATCTGTAGAATCATGACGCTGAGTGCTGCATTTACATTTTGTCAGGAGTACAATGCACTCTTGAAGTTCACCTGTTTTATTTCTTCTGTGAGTCTATGGCATAGAGGACCGTGTCCATTATAAAGACAGCATGATCTTCAGCTGCAATACAATATCCCTGGAGTCCAAAGAACCTCAATGAAGAATAATGACAATGTGACTAAACAGTGTATCTTTTTTCTGAGTATGCTCTTCGGCTACAAATACTCGAACTCTGAGGGCCTGCTTCAAAGCAGTGCGATGCTTCTCGCTCCATCCGGGAAGTCCTTCCTCAACCTTGTAAAGGAGAACAAAAGGAGAACAAAAGGAGAACAAAAGGAGAACAAACCATGCATTTCATTGATTTCCAATGCTTTCCACAACACTGCCGTCTCCCACAAGGTGGTACGTTCGCATACTTTTGATTTCCTCCTATATCTGATATATCTGTCCTTGGCCATGGCTGGGCACCACCTGTGATGTCAATGTATCCACTAGCCACTAGCAGCACTAGCAATCCCACGGCCTCGCCTCACCCTTCCATTGGAAGCATTCGCATAACTCCCCAACCTTCGCATTGCAAAGTTTGCACACCGTAGCAGACTGTTCTGTCATGTTCTGTCACCTGTGAGAACACACCATGTGCATTGCCTTGACACAATGAGTGCAAGTGCATTGTAAAGATTCGTGTATCGAATCAGTTCCACACAGTTCAGAATTTAGCTGGATAGCCAAACGAGATCAAACGAGCATAAAGATTGTGTTGAAAGGACGAGGCACTAGAGCATCAAGCTACCCATGCAAGTCCTTTCACCGAGTCTAGATGTGCTGATCAGAGCACTGCACAAGGCCTCCCCAACCAATGCAAGGGCGAGGTTTCTCGGGGCATGGAACTGGTCCTGCAAGTTCCGAGGGCACATCTCAAACCGCCCCGAGGGCTTCTCCAAGTTCGCACCCGCATTTAGGCACATGTTAAGTATCAAAAATGATGTGCCTCTGAACCAAAATCCACTTGGGAAAGGACATGAGCTGGGCATAGCTGCTAAAGCTCCAACAACAAAAGCAGCTGAATGGTCGAAAGGCCAACAAGGAGACAAATAGAGAGAGAGAGAGGGAATGAATCAATGAATCGCTGAATCAATGAATGCTCTGTGATGCTCTGTGCAAATAAAGCTCGGTCCCAATCTCGTTCTTTGGCAAATTCGGCTAGTTCTATCCGAAGCTGTTCCAAGGAGATGCCTCCGCTTGGCTCTGAAAGTCAATGTGTTCCTTCAAAAAAATGGACGATTTTTTATGATTTTCGATAGAACCAGTTGAAGCACCACGGTCACCAAGGATCCATATTGTACATATATATATAATATAATTATATATACATATAGAAATTATACTGTAATAACTGTAATATCGTGCCTTCCTGGCTTGTATTTTGTGCACAGGGTATTGCAAAGCTGTGTTGCTCGACATCTTCCACATCAACATATATGGAACATAAGCACCTTCTCTGTTATTGCACAAGGTTCGCTGATGTTGTGTGGTTACCCTCTGCCTTCGCTGAACATGGCAGGTGTCGCCTGCCAGGTAAAAAAATGCAATCTGTTCAGCCACTCAGACACCACTTCCTCAAAGCTTGCCACCTCGCCTGTGAGCCTTCTTCCTTGGATTCATTGGGCCTGAAAAGGCATAAAAGAAATTCAGGCAGCTACTCCACAAGATTACCACACAAAAGGGTATCAAGGACCAGGAGGTAGACTTGCATGTTTTTCCCGAGAGCGTCTGAGCGAAGGGTTCTTCTAATAGTGGGGGTCTGTCAAACATTTTCACATCCTCATCACATCCTCACATCTTCACGTCCTCACATCTTCACATCTTCTCATCTTCACACCTTCACATCTTCTCATCTTCGCATCTTCACATCTTCATCACATCCTCACATCTTCACATCGCATCTTCACACCTCATCTTCACATCTTCTCATCTTCACATCGTCTTCACATCTTCACATCTTCACATTCTCTCTTGCCCTCTTGCTCTCTTGCCCTCTTGCCCTCTTGCTCTCTCCTTCCTTTCTATTTCTCTCTTGAAGGCGCGGGGCAGTGCCAACGAGACGGCACGAAACGCAACCCTTTCGCACGAAACGAGGTTCGATCGCTAAAAACTGTGGTAAAGCTGCGATTTTACAACCTCGGCGGCAACCCTTTCGCACGAAATGAGGTTCGATCGCCAAAAACTGAGGTGAAATTGCGATTTTGAGTGTGCCGCGGCAACCCTTTGCCACGAAATGAGGTTCGATCGCCAAAAACTGAAGCAGAATTGCGGTTGCACAACTTCCGCCGCAACCCTTTCACACGAAATGAGGTTCGATCGCCAAAAACTGAAGTAAAATTGCGATTTCACAACTTCCGCGGCAACCCTTTCGCACGAAATGAGGTTCGATCGCCAAAAACAGACGTAAAATTGCGATTTTGAAATGTCAGCGGCAACTCTTTCGCACGAAATGAGGTTCGAGCGCCAAAAACTGAGGTAAAATTGCGATCTTGAAATGTCCGCGACAACCCTTTCGCGCGAAATGAGGTTTGGTCGCCAGAAACTGATGTAAAATTGCGAATTTAGGTCTGTGTGTAATAGCATCTGTGTGTCACCGCGTCTGTGTGTAAAAGCTTCTGTGCGCAAAAGCTTCTGTGTGTAAAAGCATCTGTGTGTAAAAGTGTCGGTGTGTAAAAGGTTCTGTGTGTGAAAAACTATACGAAGGATACGATGCAAACTACTGTCTTGTACTTGTAAAATATTGTCTTGATACTACTTCTCGTCTGCCTATAATAGATCTTGAATATATTGTCTTGTAACATAGTGTCTCAATACTAACAACAGAAGACCCTGCTCCTCTACTCTCTCGGGCCATCCGTCGTCTAGTTTCCGGGGAAAAGAGAAAAAAGGTTCCACATCAACCTCATCCCAAGCTCCTCTGAATGACCTGGTCACATTAGATTTTTACAGTGAAACAATGTCAAATATGTTCAAAAAAGAGCCTTAGGCTGATGAAGGATGCACAGACTCAACACACCACAAAGCAACACGATTTATCAGAACGACGGTACCACGCATCGGATTTCCATCTCTGGCTTACCCGGTGGTACCTTATCGTTATCTCCTCTACACTTTGCTTCAAACAATAAATACTCATATAATGTGTAAGTATATATTACATATATATATATATATATGTATGTATATATATATACATATATATATATATATATAAATCTATATATACATATACATATAATATATATATATATACATATGCCAGAACCTGTCTACATCACTGCTGTCGTCTTTGTATCTTCTCAAATCGGTCGAAGTTTGGAAGCCTCGAGTCAGACGGATGCTCACCTAAGTTCCAAGACAGAGATCACTGGGGACATGGAGCACATCCTTTAAACTGGATAGATTTGCCAGAAGGCAAGCCCTGATAGCTTCCAGCGATGGAAAAACAATGACAGTCCAGGCTGGAGAGAAACAACATCAAACAACACCAAAAAAACAAAAAAATATCCTCTCAAACCAGCCTTTGAAAGGTGGGCCTGCGCTCCAAATGCTTGCAGAATCAACAGCGGATTGAGGATATGACCAACTCGCCGCCGCTTTGACATTGTCTCTGCATGGCAAACACCTGCCATGAATTCGGCCAAGCATCAGTTTCAAAGTTTGAGGATATCAGTTCAAACACCCACGAAGGCTAATGCATTCCAATGCTATATTGGAAAAGATGCAACCATTCGCATAATCATGATCCCCCCCCATGACTATGAATTACGAGGGAAAACTAGGCAGGTGTGAGTAGCAAGCCGATATCCCCGGTAGAAAAGGAACAAAGAAATACAAATCCGCCGACCCCGGCCGACAGCAAGGGGAGCGCGCCAAAGAAAAAGAGTTTTTTGTTTCCAACTTCACCAAGCAGGAGCAGCAGCCGCAGCAGCAGCAACAACACCAACAAGCAAGACCAGGAACAGGAGCAGCAAGCAACGCCTACTTTTACTTTTACTTTTATTTTTACTTTTACTTTTATTTTTACTTTTACTTTTATTTTTACTACTACTACTACTCTTGCTACTACTACTACTACTGCTACTACTGCTACTACTACTACTGCTACTACTACTCCTCCTCCTACTCCTACTCCTACTCCTACTCCTACTCCTCCTGCTCCTGCTCCTGCTCCTGCTCCTACTCCTACTCCTACCTGCTCCTACTCCTACTCCTACTCCTACTCCTACTCCTACTCCTACTCCTACTCACTACTCCTCCTACACCTCCTACTACACCTCCTACTACACCTCCTACTCACTACTCCTCCTACACCTCCTACTACAGCTCCTACTACAGCTCCTACCACACCTCCTACTACACCTCCTACTACACCTCCATGGGGCAACATGGGGCTAACATAGGCCAACATAGGCCCAACATATGCCCAACATAGGGCCAACATGGTGCCAAGATTGCTTGGCCGGCGCCCGGCTGTCAGGCGTAAGCCTTTAAATAAACAAATGAAAAAGTGACAATCCCACAGGAAAAAATATGTCGTTGTTCCTTGGAATGTTTACAAACTCTGGAGGATTTCAATCCACATCAATGTGTTTTCTCAATATATATATATATATATATTTTTGTAACGTTGAAGATGTTGTTTCAGGTCAAGTTGGATGTGTCAGTACTGCAACTAATCGAGAGTGCAGATGAGTCAGCAAGAGTCAGCTTCCACATGCACACAATGTGAGATCCTTCAAGCAGCACCTGCACGAAAAATCCGCTCAACAACAGCGGCATCAACCCCTGCCAGCCCCAGGTTCCAACCCGTGGGCTTCGTGCCAGTCCTCTGTGATAAAAAAAGAGTTGACTGCAAGTGACTCTGGGTCCAAACCCATTGCCAGTAGTGAACAACCAAAATGCCGTGTGCACCGTGTGCCTCTCACCAAGGTTTGTTCCATTTTGTTCCATTCTCATCTTGGAAACGAATCCGGCCTAGTTGTTTGGTGAGTGCTGTTATCACCTTCAGGACAAGAAACTCAAATTGTGAAACAATTGTGGGCATCGCATGGTCGAAAAACCAGAATGAGCTGGCCTCGGTGGACGAATCGCCTCATTGCAATGCCAAAAATTATATCAAAGTCCGCATGAAACATGCGCATTCCTGGGCAACGCGCTCTCACCATTGGAAGCCATGCTGGCGCTTGGTGTTTGCAAAATTTCAACGGTGGTGTGGTTGAGTTGCGAAAAAGCGTCTTCTCTTACATCAGATTGCATTTAAAGAACAGTACAGTCAAGCGTGGTGCTGATGCTTTTGGCTGGATTACCCCATGTGCCGTTAAGGCTCTGAGGTAGCAGTCTGTAGGAAATTTGACATGCAAAGTGTTCCAAAAAACGTCAAAAAACTCTACTTCCATGTTCGAGATTCAATTGTGAAATTCCTTGGCCAATACTTTTGGTAAATGTGTCACTTTAAAGGGGCCAAATTGTTAGAACAAGTAAATAGAATAAATGGACATGAATTTGTAATTAGGCCACAAAGAATCAAAAAGAAAGGTAGCTCACAAACGAACTTGCAACCAACAGCTTTACTGTGAGCAATTCTGAAGACCTTTGTGATAGAAATGGTTGGTCCGTCCCCTTCCTCTTGGAACTTTCATGCCTGGCTCAGCAACTTGAGTCTTGAGCCCTTTCAAAAAATGAAGTTTTGATTCGCTAGCGCACTTCCCTTTCTGAGGAGACTTTCAAGCTGGTCATAGATGTTGATGTGACTGATGTGCTGAGTAAAATGCGCGACATGTTTTTTGTACGCCTGAACTTGCCACGTGTCAAAGAATGTCTCCTTCAGAGACTCACTGAATCTCAGGCTCTATCTCTTCCAGACTGACTGGAAAAACGAATCTACTGCTGCATGTGATTTGTAGACCCAGCTTGGAAATGTCCAAGCCGTGCAAAAAATAGCATCGCTGCTACCAAATGAATCATCGCAAAAAGGATAGCCATTTATCACTGGTGACCTCAGCAAACGAACAAGAATAAACATCAGAAAACAATATCAAATCTTGTTGGGTAGATATGTATAGTCTTCACATCTTGCCTGTGAAAGGATGGGCCAAGCGAATAAACTATAATAAACTAACCACACATGGCCTCTTGGTTATAATATGAATCGGCTATGAATACGAACATTAAGCTGGTGGGCTCAAAGCTACTCAAGACTCAAGCATGACATCTATTCCCGGTAGATAGATCCTTTTGGCGGTCAAAAACATCCAAAAACACCCCTTCTGATCCTTCTGTCACGCGCAGTCTGGGTTCGCAAGATCCGAATCAGAAAGCTGGGAAGCCGCCAAGCATCGCCAAGCATCGCCAAGCCTTGAGGCCCAAACATTGATAGGCGGATCTTCGTCATCCTGTGAGACAGCTGGGAATCAATGCACACCCAACGTGACGGTTGGCCCTACAAGGTGTTCTCAAACCACATCAAAGTACTTCAGAAAATACTGGCAAGCGGAGCCTCTGGTGGAATCACTTCCGGAAAGACCAAAACATCAAAGGCGTCTGCAAGATCCCGAAACCTCCTTGTGGCACCAAATTGAGTTAGCCAGGATATGTTGAGATGTATTAAATGGATGAAAGATGTTGAAAGATGTTGAAAGTCACAGCATCCAAAGCCTGCTGTGTACAGCACAACCCTTCATCACCTCGATGTGGTGCGACGAGAAGCAAAATGGTTCAATGATGTTCAAGGGGGATGAGTCGGGATGAGGGTCAACCTCCACACCTCATTGGACTCCTTTGTGCTACTCTGAAAATGCGTTTGAATGGTTAAAGCATGTGTTAAACGGATGCAAAACCTTGCAAAACAATGCAAAACATCTCCTTTTCCCAGACCTTGCGGGCAAAGAGGAAAGGGGATTCTCGCAGGGCACCTCAACCACAGCAGAGCTCGACTGCAGCTTCATTCAGCATGAGGAATTGAAACTTCTCTGGCTCCGCCAATAGCTCTTCCATGCTCTTCCATTCATTGACGACACCACTGTTCTGTCAAACGACTTGAAACAGCCGAGAGCTGAACGAAGACTTCGGCTTCCCAAGCTTGTAATTTCACAGGGGTGTCCAACCTCAAAAAAAATCCAACAACACCAAAAATAGGCGAGGCAAATGCAACGGCGTTAGACAAGTTTGACTCACGATTTGGCCCATCAGGACCCATCCCCCAACCTTGTGCGAAAGATGAGTGAAAGCATCAGCCTGGGCAATGGCGCCGCAACTCGCAACTTCCAATTCTGTCAGAAGTGACAATCTTGGGCCTCGAGAAGCTCGCCCAGTTTCAAGGCAGGTCCCCCAGTTCCATCGTTGGTCTGACGGCGTCGTGGAATACATACAACCACCCGAAACACATTCACTGCCAACGAACAAATTTGGACTCCCTTCACTGTGCTGGCACGCAACTCAAAGACCACTGAAATGAAGATCAAAGACGAGGCTCAGATTGCCAGTACACGAAAGTGTCCTGATACAAATGAACCCTCTCGGCACTGCGCTGCATATCGTATGATGCCATACAAGCAAACATTACCAGACTTTAGCACCTCTGTCACTGTTCGTTATATATCGTTATATTCCATCCAAGTCTCGCATTGACCCTGCAGCCGGTGAGAATCATACTTGATGTCTTCTCCAGCAATGCCTGACATCATCAGAGAAACTTCATTCGTCCGAGTTGATCTGGATTCATCTTCGTTTCAAATCCTACAGTGTCTTTCAATTAATCGCAAGAGCCTCATCCACTCAAAACATGCTAAGGTTCATTAAGGTTCAACATCGGGCTAACACCAACTGGCATTTTGAGTTTTGCATAGCTGTCACATTCTAAGATCCAGGCCATTGAAATGCACAGAAGCAGTCTCCAGAGATCCAGTGACCTTGCTGCAAAATGGATCCGTTTGATTACCGTTTGATGATCCGATGATCCCTTTGAGTCCTGTTTGAAGACTTGCCAAGAGGTTGCAAGCCGCAGACGTTGACACCAGAGTACAAAGCGTTGAAGTGCCAGAATTCGTCGTCACATCCAGAGACTGTGCCTAGCAAGTGCACAGAGAACACCAGCAAGTGCACAGAGAACACCAGCAAGTGAAAAGCCGATGTGCTTTACCATGCTGTACCCACTTTGAAGATCGTTCAACATCTTTCAGCCCGCTGAACGCTGCCTGGCAGGCCCGAGTTCACCTTCAGCTCCTTGAGAAGCGAAGGAAACATTCCGTCCTGATCAGCTTTGGGCAGGGGGAACATTCCTTCAGCCAAGTGCTTAGATTGCCAACTCAGCTCTCTACCGCTTTAACAGCCTTCTCAGCCTCACATCCGTAACATCCCAAGCGGAGATTTGTGGCAAAGGCAGTCACATGTGTCAATGATGTCAAATTGGCAGGTTTCACTTGGCCTTTTAGCTTTCCCCTTCAAAACAACACGGTGCCCCCATCTGGACAATGAGGTCACAGCATGTCGGCGACTTAACACCATCCACCTCATTCCCGAAAGCTGCAAAGGCAACAGCAAAACAATCAGAGTGCATTGGCACCTGAAGCCAACTGTCAACAAACATCACATCACCACAAGCTCAAAATGCCATTGTGGTACCAACCAAAGTTCATCCAATGCTGCCAAGATGCTGATGATGCTTGAGTGCCATCCTTTCTGTTTCTCGGCTCGCATCATGCCTGGTGGGCACACTTCCAGTTGAATGTCATTGAATCACATTCGCTCAAAGGAGGTTGGAGAGCCTTGAATGATATCCGGATATCCGGTTCTGAAGACTTTTACGCAGAGGATGCCAAGCGCGTCCAAGGGACCATGGATTGAAGTCCTTCAGAAAGCCAAAGAGCCCGGACGTGTTTGACCATTCTAACCAGTGCCTCGGATACGTGACAGAAATGAAAGAAGTCAAAACATACGGGACTGGACAAAGGACGCCCCGGATCAATGCGGCTTAGGTAACGGCACAGGAAAGAAGCAGAAGTGAGATGTGTCCTCAGTATAAAGAACTCAAATGCAATGGAAACTATATGAATACAAAGAATATCAAAGTAATTAAAGAACATCAAAGAATCGTCTCTGCATCCACCCTTGCGAACTGGCATGAGTACAACTACAGCAAAAGGAAATCGAGTGCAAATCTCGTGGCTATCACTTGACAACTTACAGTGCTGTACAGCTCCTTGGAAGACTTGGGTTACAAATGTAATCATAAAGCCGTTGCTCTGCTGCTAAGATCTGCTAAGCAAGCGTCATCTGATGTCAACTGGCGCTGTATGGTTTTGAATGGTTTGACCTCGGAAAGCCGAGTGGAAAGAAGAAACAAAGATAAACGAAGTCAACAAAATTCGAGAAATCCCAAAGCCTCCAACTGCTCTGTTTCTTCTGGAAGTTAGCAGGACATCTTGTCTTGCTGTGGGCTCCAACGGGAAGAGTCGTGTCCGACACAAACACGAACTTGTCATTACCTGTGAGCATTGGCAACTCTGCATGGTGATGGTGTTGCCATGTGTTGCCAATGCTGCGCTCAGGTTGACAGCCCTTTGGAGCCCCTGCGATGCCCAGGTCCACTGGCAAGAGCTTCCCCAAGTAGACGATTCATGGCTGAAACCAGGCCTCAGCTGTCCATGCTGTCCATGCTGTCCATGCTGTCCATGCTGTCCATGCTGCACAAACAATAAGCAATGGACTCAACCTTCGAGATCTGTGTGTGTGTTTGTGCGCGTGTGTTGGTCGAAGGAGCGCCCCTCATCTGGGATGCAAATGAATTCATGCCAAGCTACTGATTGTCACAAGGCATGAATGGGATGCAAGCTGAATAAGTTTAATGAAGTAAATATGTACTACACAGAAGTCTTAATTGAACGAGATTCCACTGATGCCAGTATGTACATACTTGACTGTTGGAATCCTACTCACACAGAATTTTGAGACCTTTGTCAAATGTCCTAATGTACCAGTCAAATTCCAACAATGAACCAGCATAAAAGAACTACTCTTTGACGATCTTTGACGTGTGGCTTCTATTGCACTGATCAGCGCGCCTAGCCGCAGCCAGGCAGGAGAAGGTCGAATGTCCATTCTCGAAACAACAGATTGGCTATGGATACGATATCATCGATATCCAAAGAAGATATATAATTACATATAATATCATATAATTACATTGTATAGCCTAGCTTTTATATAACCCTTAACAATGTCTTGCAATCAGAGTGAAAAATAGTGGCTACAACAGAGCGGTGCTCGACTATGTTTGACATCGTTTGAAACTGCTCTTTCTGAATCTGGAGCGTCCACCTCATATGGTCAATCTTTTCCAAGTTAAATGTGTTTTTCTATGTTTTTTCTGCAGTGGTCACAATTTAGTTCGATCCCCAGGGCAAATCTGTTCATGCTGGCCTGTGCCGCTCAATTATGCATCCTAGCATGTTGGGGGCCGCAGAAGCGGATTGCAGTGGCAAAACTTGCCCACAAAAGTCTTGGACGACTCGACTCAGTGCTCGGCCAAAGCAGTACTCTGTCTCTACAGTCTCAATCAAGTTGAAAATTGGATGATTCCTGAGGGCTGCCGTGGTATTGGGGAAGCAAGCAGAAATTGTCTGTTCGATTTGAGCCATGTCGAGTGCCTGAAATCATTAGAACTATGGCTGGCCAAACTGATGAAAGCTAAACTCTCACTATCCTCTCTTGCGAAGTACTAGGAATGAATAGGAATGGAGTCACTGGTACAGCCCTGCCGATTTCCTACAACCCTCCAGACTCAAAGGTGACGTTTTTTGAATGTTTGAAACATGACTTCGGAAATTCGGCCATTTTGGAGCCATTTTGGCAAGTAGCCTTTAATTCTTTACATTTGTTTCCTTGCTCGGAGTGACATCCTCCAGAGGCAATTAGCCATCGATATTGTTGTTCACCCTATATCTCGAATCTAAACATGATGTTAAAATATGTTAAACATACGTAAGGCTCACACCTCAAGTCATGTCTGCATTTCGAGGCAGACTTGCAGTGGATTAGAACTCGAAAATCTTTGCCTTGCGCAGTGACAAAGGTAGGCAACTGAACTGTTGATAGAGTGAACGGCAGCAGAACTAAAAGATACATTCAATCCCTATCAACAGCTGAAGCCTGGTTTGCCACCTCTGAAGAACTTCTCCCAAATTTCCATGTGGGGAAGCCCATCCTGAAGCTGCAGCATATGTCATTGTATTATCTACACATTTCATGACATTCATATAATTCACTACTTTTCTTAGCTGGTACAATAAAGACAGCAGAATCAAATTTGCCAAGCATCGTAAGCCATGAATAGAAACGTGATGGTTGGCGCTGATGACTCTGCCAAATTCAGCGGCGATGTTGTACGCGCCTGCTAGCATCACACTGTATCAAGCATCCCATGGCAGCATGGACAGACTCGTTTTGAAATTCAAAACACGAGTCTTTCAACCTGCTCTTCCTGCCTCCGGGACATCATCGGACAAAGTACTATTGTACCTGCCCTGTGCACAATCAAGGCATAAATGGACATTGCTGCTCAGTGTCTGGGGGATGCGCACAGTGCAATCAATGTAAACCGCAGTCTGGACGTCTGGACTACAATGCTCCAAAAGTCATGCATGAGACTGCTAGAATTCGTTGCCCTTAGCAGCGTCAAGTCCCTGAACTGACTCGAGATGCCAAAATATGCCAAATATCAAGCTGCACATTACAATTCGCGACCAGCCTGGAGCGCAACTTGTGCATGGGCCGAGGAGTTGCGTCCCTGCATCCACAAAGGCCCAACGATTGAGCCAACATGGGATGTTTATTTCGCAGCTGGAAGATCCTAAAAATTCCTAGAAACTTTCAGCAGAATGAGAATTTACCCAGCAAGGAAAAAGTGCACTTAAGCACTGTCAATCTGTTTTGTCACAGCATGATGTCCAGAGCAGTGCGTTTACTCTACGCGTCAAGGGCTTATATGAGAGTCTTCGCCACTATTGCATACATCCACAAGCATCCATGATATGTGTTGTTCTTAAAAACACAGTGTCATCTGCAGAAGCTGGAGTAGTGTGCACATCATGTCATCATGGTACTTTGAATTGCTAAAGTTCCTTGTGTGACAGTGCGCACATGCTTTGGTGCATCATCTAGTGTGCTATCCCCCACCCAATACCTCCAAATGTACCCATGTACACATATAACTTTGTACACATTCACATGTATATCATAGAATCATATACATACACATACACATACACAGATACATACACATATACATATACATATACATGTAATTATGTATATATATATAAATACATATAAATACATTATAATGGCATAGATAGGAGTTATATGAAGTTGTATGCAGAGGATCGTCCTATGTTATATTTGACATAAACCATGTATGCCTTAAGAGCAAAACAGCATTGCAGAAGAGTTTGAACCAGGCCTTTGGCTGCCGCAATAATGTTGAATTTGAGTGGAAAACCTGGTGGAATGGACTCAGGGCTTGTTGCCGCGTCCAAAATTCTTAATCGTAGGTCGTAGAGTTTGCAATGCAAACTCAACTTTTGAGTGCACTAAGGTTTATCGATAGCTCACACAAGACTGCCATCCAACTTGGCCCGGCTTCAAAATGATTCGAGGCTTTCAGACTGTAAGGATTGTACAATGACGCTCAGCAGCAGGAAGACTACGTTGGGCTTCATTACCTGACAAGCAAGCCACCCAAAAACTACAACCTGTACCCCCAGGACTTGATATAGTCTGAACGGTTTTGACCAACTGCGTCAAAGTCCTCCAAGACCCGTGTCCTAGATTGTCCCACAGATCGTTCCAAATGTATCCACTGTATATCAACGTATGTCCGTGTTCAGTCTGTGGTCAGTCGATGGTCACAACATGGTGTTTTTATGGTGTTTTTGCATGTCCTGACCTGCGGAAACCTGCGGAATCTAAGGCTTCTGCAACCAATCCAGCTCCATCAGCTCTGGCCCCCAATGTTTGAGCCAAATGCCGAGCTGTCGAGCTTTGTCCCTGCCATGTCCCTGCCATGTCCCTGCCATCATCTGCCATCATCTGCCATATCTGGCATATCTGTCATCCATACCAAGTTTCTGTCAAATGCAATTGCTGCAAAGGCTGCAAAGTGTGAAGATATTTTGGCAAAACATCTCCAAGGGAAGCACAGTTTGTACTGGCTTCGCAGTGATTTTTATTTGTGTCTTACCAGGTAGGATCATGATTCTGCTAGGATGGAAACAGACCTTTACAAAATTCAAACATGACATCCGTGATGATCATGGTGCAATTCGCAAAGCAATAGATTCAATAGGGAACTCAACGGGGACATAACTAAACCCCCACTGTCTTTTACCTTTTCTGATACAAGAAGAGAAGTGTACAAGCACCGCCAAGTCTGATGCATTTGCAATATTTTGCAATCACAATAGCGTCATTGGGACTTCAGGTCGTTTCATGTCATTTCTCGAAAGTCATTTTGATCCATGGCATTCAGTTCATCCGGGAACATTCCGACTGCTGTCCCGGATTCATTCTGATTCATCCTGACTCTGCATCGCAAATCTCTTCAATTTTTTTTGCTCTTGCCCTTGGGACTAGATCGGTTGTATCTGTGCCACTATGTCGCTGAAGGTCCTACGTCAGTACCTCAGCACCCTGGCACTCCCAATGTCCACAAGGGCGAAAGTCTGCCGCCTGGAAAAAACAGTTGGGAAATGAGATTTTGTTATATTATGATTTTGTTTTATTTTGTTGTGAATCCTTGGCTTTTTGGTTCGGCCCAAACACTTCGGGTGCTACCTCATTCCAGATGCCTGCCTGATCCTGCCTGCTTGCCTCTCTTTGGAAGAGCTATAGGTCACAGGCGGTCACAGGCAAAATGCAACATGTCATGAGGGGCGGTGCCTCAGAGGAGGCCAATGGGCCAAGATCTCCCACCAGGATTCCTGAAAAATAGCACAGGAGTCGTTCGGCACACGAGGTGGTACAACATGGCACACAAGCTGCCGACGCAACTGTCACAACATGCTCAGGTTCCAATGTCAACTGCTTGGAAGCACGCATGAATAGTTCCCTGCACTGCAATTGGTCAGAAATTTCAGACCAAATAAACCCTTCATGAGTGGTCTGTGTGATATTGCGGGAATGGATGCTGGGAGCAACACTGCACTTCCGTTGGAGCAGGCTCTGACAATGCCCACTCGTACCAAACCTTCGAGCACGGAAGGCAGGCTCGACTCACTATCAATCTACCGAAGTATACTGCTCGTAACGCTCGTATTTGTTTAAGTTCGATGTGCTTGTGCCTTGTGAGCATCATGCCGGCGCCACCAGTGGCTCCTGCCACTTCAATCATACAATTCACTTGTCAATATAAAGGAGCCCAGGGCAAGGAGATCCGAACCCAAGTGACGCGCAGCGAAGATCAATCTAGATGCTCAAGGGAATCGGAAAGAGGGTGGAAAATGATGGAAATAGGTAAATCATGGTAAATCTGAGAGTTTGGTGCAAAAGGGCTCCTGATGATGCTGCCTTTGCGAAGGTACTGTGGATGGCGCAATGGGAAGAACATTGGAAACCAGCTGAACATTCCCACCTTGAAGCGTGCAACAGGCGATCAGAGGCAGTACTCCATGGAGATATGCGCTATGGTCGCAGCATGGTATATGATGGCGTATGTGCGCTATGGTCGCAGCATGGTATATGATGGCGTATGTGTTTTATTGTGTTTTGGTCATCCCACCATCATCAGGGATTCCTTACTAACTTATATACTAAGTAGGGATACTATGGGTACACAAATTCCTGATGGATCGATGACCATCCCCAACAGAGGCAATTGGCCCAAGCTTTGACAAAATGGAACATATGGATACATATGGCGCTATGGCGCTATGGGCGCTACGGGCGCTACGGGCGCTATGGGCGCTATGGGCGCTATGGGCGCTATGGGCGCTATGGGCGCTATGTCACTTGATGCCAAGGCTTCTGACAGAGAAAGTCTCCGGGTGGATGGATATGCGCTCGGATCCATAAAGCACCTAAGCAAAGCAAAGCGAAGCAAAGCGAAGCAAAGCAAAGCGAAGCAAAGCGGAATCTGCAGAGGACAAGTTCGACAGGTTCAAGACATTTCAAGACTCCAAAAAGAGAGCGGTTGACGTTGAAAGACATCCAAGGCTTCAGACGCAATCGAAGTACCCTGCAAAGCCATGGACAAGAGAATCTACCTTGGCTTCATGTGATGGCTGCGCGCATTCTCTAAGAATATTGTATCATATTGATTCATATTGTACCTCTTAGCTGATCTTTGCCAGGTTGAATTCTTGCTCAAGATAGCCCAGTGATGCCCAGTGATGCCCAGTGTATCCCAAGATCAGGAAATCCTGTTGGCTTGAGCATGAGGATATTCGCTACCACCAAGCTGCTTCAATCTCAAAGTCCAAGTCAGCGCTTCGGTCATTGCTAGAACCATCACTCTTTGGATGGTGAAATTCGAAGCAGTCCTGCAATTCCGATAGCATGTGACTTGACTAGAGTGATTAGGTCTGTACTGCAGGCAAGAAGCAACAATGTAGGAAGAGGGTTCGACAGTATGGATGAAATCAATGTCAGAATCAACATCCATCTTGTGGGCGAGGTAGCTTCTGTTGGTCGTGATATTTTGGCACACTGCAGCTTATACATGAGCACGTAGCTCTCTGTTTTTTAATTCTCAATAGCTAGTTACACTGGTCCTCCCAAAGTGGTTTGGGCGAGGGTCTACGTCTCGGATCTCTACTGCTCTTGTCTGAAGCATCCTGAAGCTTTTTCGAACCCAGTCAGTCCTTGATCGCTCTGCAAGGATAAAACGCATGCTGCAAGTGCACGACATAGGCTGTCTGGGACATTATCAAGTTGGAGCAAGTAAGGGAACCCTCTTGCCTCCTTGCTATGCTGCTCAAATGACATACGTTGTTCTAACATGTTCGAACGAATCAAGCAGAATCTGAGAGACTGAACTGACTGAACGTGCGTAATTGCAAGGCGAAAAGCTGTGAATGAGTTTGTTGATCGATGGACGATAGAAAATGATAGAAAGACAATTCCCTTTGGACATCTCTGGACCATACATGGCTCAGCCGCCCCAATTCTGTCCGCCTCCAAATCTGCAACGCCTCCTCCTGCAGCACCTTGCCGAGCATTTGCCCAGAGCAAGGGTGCTGAAACCGGAGTCAATGCAGCTGTATAGCCTGGCTGACACAGCTGAAAACATAAGAAAACATCTGAAAAATCTGAAAGATGTGAACATGTTAGACATGTCATGTATCGTCATCGTAACATGGCCATTGATGCTTGTAGAAGAAAAAAGATGGAAAAAGCACTTAAAGGGCAAAGAGTGGTTAAATGATGTTAAATGCCAAGTCGCTCGTTGGTATGCACACACCATCATCTGCAAGGAATCGTTGCCTCTCAGGATTTGGGACAATTCAAGTTCCAATGCTGTATCGCCTCTAACGGTTTGATGTGATATGCATTGAGTGCATGAGGATCAAGAAGTGGCACTTTAAAATACTTTAAAATACTTCAAAGATACTTTAAATATCTAAAGATGCGGTCAAAGCGACGCACCATCGAGGCACTCTGGACCTGAATACAATCAATAGCCACGAGATTTCACGAGTGATTTCGAAAAAAACTGCAATGAAAGCCGAACGTTTCAAATGCTTCAGGGTCCAGCTTAATTCATTGTCGCCGAAAGAGCCCAGGAGCTCACTGATGATGACCTTATAGTGAATATTAGTGAATCTTAGTGACTTAGTACTTGAAGGAATCCAAATTACAGTCCACTTCAAAGTTTAGATCACAGCGTTGCAAGAGAAACGTAATCTTCAGGAATGGGCATCAGCTTTTTTAGGCGCGGTCCATGATCGCATGTCTCCAGGCACTACCTGGCCCCCAACCAATAGCATCAATAGCACTACCACAATCTGCCACAGCTCCATAACTACAAGAATTGTTGGTCAAATTGCATGCCATGGCGGAACCCAAAAACATCCAAAAACTTTGGTGGAGCTGGCGGTGCACGGACACTTTTGGTTCCCGCATTGATGGCCAGATTTGCTTCTTCCCACCTGTCAAGCCAGGTCACAGTGGCATTTTTGCAGCAAGACAAACAGAAACCAAATTACTGAATGAAGCTGAGTAAAGTTGATGGCAAGTTGTTTCTTGCTGGTGTTTTTGCAAAATAAGTCAGAGGCCTTGGTTCTGAGCGAGGCCCCCCAATTGGCCGATGTGCCTGCCACTTGACTAACAACAATTCTATGGCGGAGATCTTTTTAGCATCACATCTGTCACGTTTTGTTCTACCAGCCAGGCAGCACGCAGAGCAAGCACAGGAAGGGAGCCATGGTTTCACTTCCAGAACTGTCAAAACAGTCCAACACACCAGAGCCGCCCTGGTTCACCCACCGTTACTTGGATGCGCAAGCTGCCCCAGCCCTGTGCTGAAGACGCAATTGCCGCTGCAGTGGGATGGAAATTTAAAATTTAGCTACAAGATGCTACAAGTACTGTAGCAGGAAAACTGCATGGGTTTACCACTTCAATTCCAGTCTTGTCAGGGTGGGTTCAAGGCTTGTTGGCAAAAGTTGCAAGAGTCTACCCTCTCCGCTTGACTGGCATCGAACTCAGTGTTTGGTTTCATTTCGACAATTTTCAGCGTCATTCGCACATCAGGGTTGGGGATGTTTGGGGAGAACTCAAAGAACGCAGAAATCGAAAAATTGTTGCATGCCGCACTTGCCACAGGAAAGAAGGTCTGACAGTCTGTCACAGTTCCCGTGGTAGCATTGCTCTTACAGTACCATGGGATTTGCCACTAGGAAGCTGTCATAGCATGCCCCAAAAAAGTGGAAATCAAATCCTTACACAAGTGAAAGAACAAGTGCACCAAAGTCCAGAAATTGCCATGTCCATCTGTGTTGCCCTCATTCCCATGGTTTTTCACCGAAAGGTAACATAATAACACACAATGACGTGGTTTACATAAGTCTGTGAATGAAGTCCGACCAAAGCAAGCTGGCACAACCCCTTGGCTTCCAAGATGACCAGGGCCTCGCGAACTGTCTTCTGCGGTGCAGCTGAATTCAGACATGCTGTGTCAAGCCTGTACCATCATGTACCGTCTGATGTCTGCTGTGTGTGTGTGTGTCTTTGTGCCAAGATTGTGCGATGTTGCGCACATCTCCATTCGCTCTGGAAGACTTGGTTGCAAAAACCGAACAAAGACAAGTCCGTATACAGTACCCGAACTGATTGACAAGTAAGCGGCAAGCAATCAAGCCTGGTGAGTTCAAAGGAAGCGCACCGCGATGTGAGTTGCTAGCCTCAAGGAAAGCACTTCGGTTCAGAATGGTCAAGAATAGTCAAGAACACTGGCTGACACCACCAAATCCCATAAGAATTCGGTTCCCGCACTGAAGACAGTCTGTCCAGCCCTGCAGCATCATCAAGGACCAGTTGCTGCAAGTGCAACGTCCTGCCATTTGATGTCTCAAGATTCTGTTGCACAAGTGACCTGTAGAGTGGAGAAGTTTACCCTATCACACTGACTCATATGTAGAAACTTTGGCAGGCAGGCTGCTCACGAATTGCCAATAAGTCTCCACGCAGCTTCTTATGCTTTCGCTTCTCCCTTATCAGCAATTCTCAAAAACTTGGAGGAAAGAACGATTAACTCAAAAGACAGGCGAACAAGAAAATGTGTCAGATGGATGTACACTTCTCTTGCTGTAAGTGTGGGAAGAAAGAGCTGATGGAGCAGCGAATCCTTACAACTCAGAAGCCTGTGACGAAGATTATTCATGGAATATGTGTGATGATTCCATTTTGACAAATATCAAGAATCAAGAAGAACCTCCTTTGGCAAATTTGGATCTAAAACACTTATTGGGGCCCATGCGCTGCAAGCTGTTTATCTCGCTCAAGAAGACAGTTCCGCATTGTGTCCACCTGAGCTGAGAGGCAAACAGCAGAGACAAGTGCGGGCCAACAGACTTAGAATTTCAAGGTTGACCAATGGCACAAGTTGCACAAGTTGCACAAAAAATCAGAAGACTTACTTGTTGTCACTTGTTGTCACTTGTTGTTTTCAAGTTTGAGTCTCTAGGGTACCGCTTGTCTGAGAATCGTGCTGCATCATCAGTTTCTGAAATCGAACCTGCCGGCCAAAATGCCAACTTTCAATAACTTTCATGGTCATTTCTCGAGCTGAAGGATGCGCACAAAAGTATCAACCTGACAGTATCAGCTGTCTAGGGCAGGCCCGAAGTGACGCCAGGCCTACGAACTCTCCGCACAACGCGATGCACGATAGTGCATTCTCGTAGTTCTGCTGAAACTCCGCTTGTATAGATTTCAAGTCCTGCCGCAGGTTGCTTGTGCTGCATCAGACGACTGTGCATGGCACACGGTTCAACCGCAGCACACCCAAAGGTTCCAAGGTCACCCCGCAATGAAATGACAACTCTCAGAGTCCTACAATTTACTAACAGCATCTAACAGTATCTAACAGTTACTAACATGACCATGACCTGCCTCCACTTCCTGAAACAATTCTTCTAAGGAGGTGAGGTCAAAGTGCCACGTCGGAAAACCTCATTCTACAGGGTCGCTTGGGCCGCTCGACTTTCACATAATCAAAGTTTCATGAAAGCAAAGAAAATGAAATGAGATGCTCTGAAGTGTTTGGATTTCAAGTCGAGGATTTCCATGCGGAAAAGCAGGTGAGATTGCCGACATTTGATTTCACAAGTCTCCTGGTCCAGTTTGGAGCTAGTGATGTATATATAGATTGGGGCCAAAGACTTTCGACCGACTTTGGTGAGTCATCACCATTGAGGTAATTTGATCGTTTCCCGAGGTTTCCCCAGGGGTCTAACACTGCTTGCTGACAGGTTCGCGTCTAATATTGTTTATCCATGTTTATCCAGGGGCATGGCGATGACTTCTCAAGTAAATATGATCACACAGCACTGGCAAACCCTTTGTCATAGTTTGGAAAGTGTTTATCTTAGCTTGGTATTTTTTCTGAATGGCCAATGTCTTTTTTGTAAATTGCTGATGCAGTCAAACTTTCTTCCCATCATACTCACATGGACAGGGATTCCAACAAGGAAAACAAAACAACTCCAAGTATCTACATCAGTTGCGGGGAGAACCGCAAAAACCCAGGTAATGGAGTACATAGAAAGCGGTGAGCTAAGAAAATACGACTACTATACAAATATATACAAATGCAAGTTGGGCTAGTTGGGGTAGTTGGTGGACAAGAGCTTGCAACAAGAAGTTTCTATTATATAAAGCAATTCAGAACAGGTTTCAAGTCATAAACCTGGCTTTGCTGAGGAGATTACAGGCTGAAATCGGCTGAAACGTCAAGGTTTGTGCTGCTTTGGTCCATTGGAAAACTTTCTCATGTAATCTAGTGGAAAATCGCGCAGGTCCAAGTTTCCACTTCGCGCAGCCCCAACTGTGCGTAGGATCGTTCTACACTTCTTGAAAAAAAAAGACGCGAGTCTGCTGTGTCGCTCCCATGTGTGTCCCGACCTCTATCGCCGATGATCTGTATGGTCCATATCAGGAGCAGTATAAAAGATCATCAAAAGAAATGCCCTGAAGAATTCTGCTTGTCACGCCACAACCATGTTCAGGACGCGAAAGAAAAAGAAAATAAGAAATAAAGGTGAAGTGGTGTTAGGGCCACTTCCACAAATACGAAGCTTCTGCAGCTACAAAGGAAATCAGGCAGTTATAAAGATGATCCTTCAATGCAAGCAAACAGTATCTTACACATTTATGATTTAAAAAGATGCTTCAAATGTGCATGAATGGGAGAACGATAAAAGGTCATGAAAAATGTAGCCGAGATACGACACAGCAACTCATCCCCTTCGTACAACTGGTCTTCTTCCCGCAGCTTCTGAAGACGATAGACCTGATGCCAAACAAGAAGCTGAATTGAGTTCATGCCATACCAACGCAAGTCTGCATTTATATGAATTCTTAGAATGGAAAGGATTCGAACCCAGTTTGGTTCCAAAGGATTCTTGGAAACTCTGAAAGAAGGTGCAGAGTTCTTGGATCTCACTCTGCAAAACACGTCATATTTCAGTTCCAATAGCATCTCAACTTGCCAAAGCTATTCTTCGAAACAAGACTCGGACCTCGATATTGCAGCCCGAACCTGCCAGAGATGGATCCAGCCTCAGTACTTACAAGGAGCCAGTGCACTGCAATACAAACGTGCACTTTCTCAACGTCAAAGAAATATAGAGAAATATACAAGCAATGATGGCAGAAGAGGGCCTTGACATAAACTCCGATGCGACATCATGTGGCCTTTGCAGGGGCTGCTGTACTGAAACATCCGAATGCAGTTAGAATATTGTCCTGTCAAAGAAGACAAACAAAAAATTGCCGACCTGCATGCTCGCAGAGCGCTGGGGGCAACCTGTCATGAGGTTTGGAACAGCAGGAAAAACGTGAGCAGATTTAGTTGTCTTTCTAAAGTCTGACAAAACAAACGGCAGTCAATCAAATTCAATCAACACTTCAAATACTGAAAATTTGCTGATCTAGTGAGATTATTTAATCGTCGGCACGCCATGGGACAGTAGCCATGGTGACGGATCCAAGTACAAGAGTGCAACTGAATCCCTTCACAGCTTTACACACATTTCACACACTTCACAAACTTTCCAGATCATGTGAATCACAGGTAGCCTCAAAGGCTGGAAGCGCACAAGACACTCTGGCCATGGCGGAGTGCCGACCAATGTCAACAAACTCCGTAAATCCTTGGCTCCAGTACCTGCAGTACCTGCAGCTGCGAATTCAGTGTCAACCAATCACTGTGAGAAGACGCAGCGCACTTTCTGAATGTGCTGCTTTCGCTTCTACGTTTATATAATTTTATATATATATATATGGTCCCGTCCTCCGTCTCTCCACCCCCCCCCCCCATGGGTTGGGTCCCCAGGTAGTAGCCCCAATTCCCTTCTATTTGCAAGCTATTGGCAGCATTTCTGAGGTCCAGCGTCGTATTTGCTAGGTCTTTGCAGCATTTCTGACTACCAGCCTCGCATTTACTAGGTACATGCTACCTTTTAGGCGACCTACCATGCACACATACTCCTTCAAAGTACCTACGTGCTACCTATAGTCATACATACATGTGCTATGTATCTACTGTATCTACTTCCTGTTTACTACCTGTGTACTCTGACAACACTACCTCTGTTGAACATATACCGTACCTACCATACATGTCAATGATGCCATGCATACCATACCTATCATATCTATCATACATACCATACATACCATACATATGAAATGTAATTACCACACCTACCATACATACAATAGCATACATACAATAGCAAGCATACATGCCATACATACCATACCTACCTTAGATAGGACATATTCCATACCCATCATAGTAACCATACATACCATACAGACCATACATACTGTCATATCAAACATACCATATCCAACAGACTTACATACCATACCTACCATCCATACAATACCAACCACTCATGCCATACATACCATACCTACCATACATACCAAACATACCATACTTTCCAAACATGCCATACCAGACCGACCATACACACCATACATACCCACCATACCATACCACACCCCCACCACACCACAGGGGGGGGAGGGGGACAGTGCCACACCCCCACCACACCACAGGGGGGGGAGGGGGAAGATCTCATATGGGACCAGTATATGGGACCCATCCACCACACCACAGGGGGGGAGGGGGACAGTGCCACACCCCCACCACACCACAGGGGGGGGAGGGGGAAGATCTCATATGGGACCAGTATATGGGACCCATCCACCACACCACAGGGGGGGGAGGGGGACAGTGCCACACCCCCACCACACCACAGGGGGGGAGGGGGAAGATCTCATATGGGACCAGTATATGGGACCCATCCCATATGGGGGGGGGTGGCAGGGCCTGGTGCATATATATATATATATATTTATTTATTTACATTTATTTACATTGTTTAGGATGTTTTAGGTATTTGTTTCGTTTCCTCCTTGTGTGTCTATGCAGGTCTTCCAACTTCCTATTCTTCGTCAGACCATCAGTTCCTGGCCTGCGTTCGCGCCACTGCGCTGTGGCACAATCAAGGTCGCATCACAGTCATGGCACCCATGATTGATTGAATTGTCACGAGTGCAAACATAATCTATCTGGAGTTCATGGTGAGAGCAAGAGACTATTAGGTTGTTGTCATCAGTTCTCTTTGTTTGGCAATGTGAGATGGATGCGACTCATGCAACACCCCAAATCTGACAATCTAGCTTCCTTGTCCCAGACTATTGACGGCTTAATCCGGCTCTGGGAAGTTTGAGCCTGGTTGCAGAACATGTAGCTGACGCTAAAATCGTTGCCAGGATGTTGCAAGCATCTATGATATCTATGTTTACACATGGCCAAGTGGCAGTTGCAAGCTCGTGTTCATGTTCAATCCACTTTGCGATCCTCTTCCATCATTGTATTTGTGTGCTGCAGTGCTAGTGCCAGTTGTTGCAGGTGTTCGACCTTTTTGTCCGATCTCACCTTACAATAATACAGTACAATCTGTACGATGCATGCTTCTGTTCATCATGGTTTACAGTTTACAGTACTTCTTTGGCTGTGTTGCTGTGCTGCTGTGCTTTCTGCAAGGTGCTCACAACACCAAAATGCATGATGCATGGCCTGCACACTGGTCCATCCGTCTCTGCGTTTGCGGTGGCGGAGTGCATGCACCTTGAGGCAAGGGTCAAATTTGGTAGGCTTCCCCAGGCTTCCAGGCACTTCCAGGCATGCAGAGATTCTGAGATTCTTATCTGCTGATGGAAGTCTGGCCGAAAGCACATGGACGTCGAATTGAGCTGCTTGCAATTGGCAAGGATTTGCTGTAACGCACTGCCCAAACAAGATGCTTTATGGCCGAATGATCTTCATAGGCGTTGGTTTCAATTCAAGCAATCAGGTCTCTATAACACTTGGCAGAGTGAGGCGCCGCATTTGGGTTCTTCTCGACCGCATAAAGCTCTATTTGAACCTGAAAAGCAAGGGAGATTTCGCACATGCTAAGGTAGCCAGGAACGGCCAAATATATGCAAAGCTGAATCTGTGCTGGAAATGGGAAGCTCACAAGGAAAACAAAAAAGAAGTTTGGATGAGGCATGATTGAAGGACACAGAGCCTATGTAAGCCAGCCACTGCCTAATTCACACAACCGCACATAAAGAAACTGTTCCACGAACATTTCAAAACTACAAGTCCCACATAACCTGCCTCTGCACGCTCAGCGGCTTTGAGAGTCGCCTCAACCAAGGGTCCTCGCCCAGCTCCTAGAACCATCGCCTCAAAACGAAATGCCCAAAATGATCCAAAATGATCCAAAATACACATGTAGATTCCAATGTAGATAGTGTCAACATGTCTCAACTTCTGAACATGCAAATGTACGAATACTTGAGAGGGAAGGGTGAAAGATCGAAAGGTAGGCGTGGGTTGGAACAGGAGAAGAGAGCAAGGGAACGAGGCATATCCGCTGCGGACGGACGTGGGTGGAGTTGGGGCGGATATCGAAAAAAGTCTTCTGGGCTTGGACTCGAGGGCGGGTACCAAAAAGGTAGGTTTCAGGGAGGGGGGACACGACACACACACAGACACACAGACATATATATATATAAATACATACATATAGTTAGATATATGTATAAATATCAGGTTATGGGGTTTGCGAGGCAACGTGTAACTGGGGGCAGCACATTGTTGCAACGCGGATGGGGTTGATTCTGGTGTGTACATGTGTAGAACAGTGTGGGATTCACAAACGTGGTGTTTTGACCCCAGCATGTACCCAAAGCAACTGACTTAGGGCTATCCTGGTGCTGGAATCTTGGTGCAAAAAGTGGGCCCGCGGGGTGACTTCTTGCAAACGCGGCTTTAGAGGCGGACCTTGGGGGAATCGAAGGGGGGGGTTCAATATAGTTGTGATAATTATGTTCTAGTTATTATAGTAATTCTAGTCATTATAGGTGTTCTAGTTATTATACATGATAACTATATATATACGAATATACATATATATGAAACATATTGAAATGTCATTAGCGAAGTCTTTTGGTTGAAGAGAATATCTTGGAGGAACCCTTGCGGAAAATCCACCAAATGATCTAGATATGCTGAGCAAGGGGCAGCGATTATGCTTCGGCAACCACTAGCCAAAGCGCAATATCCCACAATTGCTGGGTAGAGTATGCATATATATATATATATACGAATCTATATGTATATTGAGATTATTTAGTATATATATATCATGGAATTATTATGTGTATATATATATATAGATACATATCTTTAACTATATTGTCGAAGGAAGTTGAGAAGCTAAACTTCCGACAATATGGACAGATGAAAAGCAGAGCAGGGCAGAGGCAGAGAGAAGAGAAAGTTCAGAAGAGAAAGAGTCAGAAGAAAGAAGATGCAGATGCGCGAAAAGGTAGGAAAGTCGCGACTCACTGTGTTTTTCCAATGATTTGTGGTTCCGGAGGGTCGAAAAGTAGGCTCGCTAAAGCGCCGGGTGCGGAGACATATGGGGAGATGAGACATGAAAAATTGCACGCCGTTGTGGCGCGAAGCACATTTCCAAGTCAAAATGCACAAAACACCAGAGGATCGGACCACTTTTGGCGCTTCAGATGTCGAAAAAGTGCACGCCGTTGTGGCGCGAAGCACATCCCCAAGTCAAAATGTACAAAACACACCAGGGTCTGACCACTTTTGGAAGTTGCGATGTCGAAAAAGTGCACACCGTTGTGGCGCGAAGCACATGTCCAAGTCAAAATGTAGAAAACACACCAAGTGCGGACCACTTTTGGCACTTAAGATGTCGAAAAAGTGCACGCCGTTGTGGCGCGAAGCACATTTCCAAGTCAAAATGTTAAAAACACTCGGGGTTCGGACCACTTTTGGAGGCTCAGAGGTCGAGTTTCGAAAAAGTGCACGCCGTTGTGGCACGAAGCACATTTCGAAGTCAAAATGAGCAAAACACCAGGGGTTCGAACCACTTTTGGAGGCTCAGAGGTCGAGTTTCGAAAAAGTGCACGCCGCTGTGGCGCGAAGCACATTTCGAAGTCAAAATGTACAAACCACACCATGTTCGGACCACTTTTGGAGGCTGAGATGTCGAGTTTCGAAAAGTGCACGCCGTTGTGGCGCGAAGCAGATTTGGAAGTTAACATGTTAAAAACACTAGGGTTTCGGACCACTTTTGGCGGTTCAGATGTTGCTTCGCTTAACTCGACTACACTACATGACACTACACTTTGCTGCACTACACTACATTACACTACATTACACTACACTTCACAACACTACAGGTTACAACTACAACTACACAACTACAGTCCACTACAGTCCACTACACTAAATTACACTGCACTACACTCTCTACACTACACTTCACTACATTACACTACACTACACTCCACTACACTACAAATACAACTACACCTACCCAACTACACTCCACTACCCTCCACTACACAACATTAAACTACACTACACTACCTTACACTACACTACACTCCACAACACTACAACTAAAACTACACAACTACACTCCACTACACTACACTACCTTACACTACACTACATTACACTACACTAGACTCCACTACACTACACTACACTACACTACCTGCCGCTACACTTCACGACACTACTCTACACTACACTCCACTACCACCTACAACTACAACTACACTCCACTACATTACACTACATTACACTACACTACGTTACACTGAATGACACTGCACAAAAGATAGACAGGTAGACAGCTAGACAGATAGATAGATAAGATAGATAAGATAGATAAGATAGATAGATAGATAGATAGATAGATAGATAGATTGATTGATTGATAATTGATAGATTGATAGATAGATAGATATGATAGGATAGATAGGATAGATAGGATAGATATGATAGATAGATAGATAGATAGATAGGATAGATAGATAGATAGATAGGATAGATAGGATAGATAGGATAGATAGGATAGATAGGATAGATAGGATAGATAGGATAGATAGGATAGATAGGATAGATAGGATAGATAGGATAGATAGGATAGATAGGATAGATAGGATAGATAGATAGATAGGATAGATAGATAGATAGATAGATAGGATAGATAGGATAGATAGGATAGATAGGATATAGGATAGGATAGGATAGGATAGGATAGGATAGATAGGATAGATAGATAGATAGATAGGATAGATAGGATAGATAGGATAGATAGGATAGATAGGATAGATAGGATAGATAGATAGATAGATAGGATAGATAGGATAGATAGGATAGATAGGATAGATAGGATAGATAGGATAGATAGGATAGATAGGATAGATAGGATAGATAGGATAGATAGGATAGATAGGATAGATAGGATAGATAGGATAGATAGGATAGATAGGATAGATAGGATAGATAGATAGATAGGATAGATAGATAGATAGATAGATCGATAGATCGATAGATCGATAGATCGATAGATCGATAGATCGATAGATAGATAGATAGATAGAGGGAGAAATAGATGGATAGATAGAGATAGATGGATAGATGGATAGATGGATAGATGGATAGATGGATAGATGGATAGATGGATAGATGGATAGATGGATCGATGGATAGATGGATAGATGGATAGATGGATAGATGGATAGATGGATAGATGGATAGATGGATAGATGGATAGATGGATAGATAGATAGATAGATAGATATGATAGATAGATAGACAGGTAGACAAGAGTGAGAGAGATCAATCGCCTTTCAGTCCAGCAGTGGCTTCGCTCTGCCATCTCTGATTCACAACAACCAATCTCTCCTATAGGTTTCCTATTTTTGAAACTTCCGCCACCGCCTTGTGCGGTACTACTGGTATATCATGTACGATTTTTGAGACTACTGCAACGCAGTCCGTCGCAACGTTCTTGCTACGACATTGTTCATCGCGGTTGTTAGGGTGAACGAAACAAAGTTCTTGAGCAATCTGACATTGTCGAGTTTCAGTGCGGGTCTTGACTTCGGTTGGGGTGGGGATGTATGTAAACGTGGTGGATGAAAGTGCATGTGCGGCTGTTGGCGTTTCCTTGTAGTCCGCCTATGTTGCAAACCCGGCTTTAGAGGCGGACCTGGGGGGAATCGAAGGGTGGGGGGGGGGCCCCCCCCCCTTGAAAGGCGGACCGAGACATAACCGGCCCAAACTCTTGCACTTGCACCGCTCGCCCCCTAATACTTGCTACGCAAGGGGGAACTCAGGTAGCTCACCGCTACCTTTCGAGATTTGGAGGTGCAACTTGCTCTCTGAAATTCTGCCCAAGGCACACAAAATGGCATGGGTCGTCCTTGCTCTTTGCGCTCGGTGAAGAAAATGAAGGCTGCCTCCAAACAAAATGCCACTGCAATTTCAACTTCAGTCAAGAGTCAAGAGCATTGCTTCACTATCTTGAATGTTCAAAACTCTTCTAATCGATATCCTCTGGCACTTGTCTGAATTCCGCACATTGTCTGGTAGCGAATCCACAATTCAGAAAAAATACTTTGATACGTGTCACATTCCCTTGGAAGCACTTTGCCGTAGAGTGCCTGCGTGCAGCTACTACATCTACGCCGTCTACGCCTGATAACATTCTATCAGAAGAAGTTTCAGGCCCCTCTCTGCCTGTGCCCCATTGGACTTGCAGAGGTGGATGCGCTCGACTACTCTATTGTTGCAAAGAACAAAGCTGTATGCAAATCCCTGCAAAATGGCTTAGATATCATCCTTATGGGTGTGATGTGTGATCTTCCTATTGATCCTACACTTTGTTCATTCAGAGCTTTTCATCTTCAGCTTTAGCTCAGTCAGACAGAAGGCACAATTGTCCAGGCCTCTTGGTACCTTGCCTCAGAACAGGATAAAAGGGGAAGGCAGACCACCTGGCCACCTGGCAACCTGGCCATCCCATCTTGGTGCATGCAGGCCATTCCATCACGTGGATGTCACTGAGAGTTCTGCATATTTCACTGGATCCGTCTCAAAGAGCTCGTAGGTTTCAGACTGTCAGCAACAAATCACAGATTGGCATGTCTCAGCTCAGAGTCACTCGCAATCCGTGTGGTTTTGGGAATCGAGGTGACAACACTGCCTCGGACACCTTGACAAGTAAACTGCTCATTGGCCTCCAAGTTATCGGCCAGCGGCTGCAGGGGAGCCTCAACCGAATTTGAAGGCATGGCCACGCACGACCAGGCATGGCCAGGCATGGCGTTCAGACATCAAGAGTTAAGAGTTTTGACCTGATTTTTGTCATGTGTTCTCCATCCGAAACTGAATTTCAGCTTGATCCACACACAACTTCAGCTGCCTGCAATGTGTCCTTGTGAGTGTAGGCAAAGCGGTCTGCCTGTGACAACGGTGGTAGAGCCTTGCAGGGTCCAGTGCGTCTGAAAAGCGCGCCTACTGTGCTGGATTGCCGTGTATGAGTCAAATCAGGTCAATTCTCAACATTCCAAGTTAGAGTTTGACCAACAAAGTGATGCTGTGCAAAAAAACTTCATCATTCAATGACAAAAATTGTGGATAGGGTCCCGCATATGCAAGAGGGTGCCAAGATTCAAAGCGTGAGCTGGGCACAAGTCATTGCAAAACCTGAAAAATCCTCCAAATGTACTGAGTGCAGTTTAAAGGTGCCGACAAAAGTTACACATAGCTTGAGGACAAACAAAGACCTAAAGTCTCACTGTATACTCAATCCGATGACGTGCTGGGAGGCCTACTAGAGTGTTTGGTGCCAGATTGGTTTTGAGTAGGAAAACGAGACTGAAAGGAAGATTTTACAAAGCCTGGTGAAGCAACCACAATAGACAGTCGGCCGCATAAATTCATGTACCGTAGTAACACAGGCAGAGATCCTTCAAAACTTCTGAGGTCCAACTCCAAATGTCAAGAAGCCGCAAATCTTTTGTCAAATCTACAGTATAGTCTGACAGTACAGCATATATATTACATATATGACTTTATTTTGAGTCAGCATGACAAACCAGGCCCTAGCAACAACATGTTCAGTCCTGAAATAGCTGCGCCACATAGGACTGACGAGGCAGTAAACCCTGGGCAACTCTCCGGAGACTCGTTTCAGATGTGAAATGCAAGCTGCTCAATCGCACCACCCGCTGCTATGCCTTCTGAACTGTGACTTGGATATCCGAAAAAATAGTCGTAGCGGCATCAGTAAAAAGTGATATGAAAATGACCCGGCCCATCTGGCACGAAAAAAGCATCTCTAGGCTTTGCACCTCATGCTCACCTGCAGACGTGGCCGGCTCGCAAATAATCACCTGAACCTTGGTGAATGTGAAGCCCCAAGTGACACAAGCTAATAGATGTGCTGCTATATTATGGAGTCAAAGCGTACCTACACCAGACATTTAGTCATGGCTAGTCCGCTGGGATGGAAACCTGATGACGGAAGAGCTTCTCAAGGAGCGCCTTCAAAGGCAAACCAAGGCTGATTAAAGTTACAAAAAGCCAATGAACAATTCAAGGGACTCCATCAATGCTACAAGGACTGCAGAAACCATACGGATCAGAGCAACTCTGTAACTCTGTCAACGGATCTGTTGAAGAGCATGCATGGCTTTTCAAGTAAGTTCATTAATTTTCTATTAAATTCAACATATTGGAATCATTGGAACGTATGTTCTTATGTAGTTCACATTGTTAATGGAGGTCTCCAAGATCTCTCTGTTCAGCTCGGTGCAGCTTGACTCCGCGCAGCTGAGCTTTCGTCCTTCGCTTTCTTGGGAAGCACTGGATATCCTGACCTGCACAGATTGGCTTCAACAGTGCCTCTGCCACATAGGAAGGAAACAAGATGCCAATGATAATACAATGATAATACTATGGAAACAAGGCTGGCGCTTTGGGTAAAAGTCTGCCAAAGAAGTGGAGGACATCCAAAAGCAGGTCGTGCGGGTCTTCTACACGCTCATGATCTAAATCTGATTCCAATTGTTCGTATGAAAAAGTGATCATCTTGACTATTGCTAATATATTGATACTGTAAATATTGTGTGTGTATCTTAGTATAATGTATATATATATATATATATCGTATTCAATTAATTTTGCACCTGTTTGTAAGGTCTCCTAGTTGCCTCCTATTTGATTCATGCTGACAATGTCAGACTTACAGTGCAGCGCGCAAGGATTTCGGTTTGGCCAGACGGATGGACATGGACTATCCCGGACAGGGGAGGGTAGGGGAATTTTAGGGGAGGTTCACTGGTCAAAAAAACACTTCGCCATTTCGCAGGCTTCAAGGAGGAGACAGCCGGAGACAGCTGCCAGCAGAGGCAACATGTGACGATCTGTGATGTTCAATGATCCCTGATTTGCATCAAGTCATTTGGCAATTCTCCCCCCAGTACAAGGCCGTATTAGCAGTGCCTGTTCAGCAGAAAGGCGGAGGGTGGCAGTATCACACTGCGAACAGGCTCTGCAAGCCTTGCTCAGCATTCATTCAAAGACTTGAGGACTATGGACAAAGCACTCCTATAGATGCTCTCCAATCTGTCATATCCTTGCAATTCCTTGCAATGGGTGTCCTTGCCATCTTTCCAACTCCTGCGAAGCCGAGAAATCGCGGGGATCAAAATTAGAGGTGCTGGCTTTGTGAAGCTTCACTACCTTGTCGCTCGTCTTGTCAACGGAAAGCTCAAGCGCACAGGACAACCTGTCGCTTCTTCTCTTGTTTGCAGTTGAACAAGGTCTTGAACAAGAGCATGCCATGTGCGCTTGTCTGCGATTGTGCGTGTGGGTATGCGCATGTGGTGTATATGAATTTCTGTATCTGTGTGGATGTGTCTGCGTCTCATCTCTCAGAAACAAGCTAAGGGCAAAACTGTGCATGGTGGTCACAAAGCGTTCGAAAGCAATTCCACCTCATTTTGGTTGGAGATGCAAAAATTGTGTGTTACACCTGCACATCTTGAAGTATATAGTATTCATGGTCGGGGTCAACATCTGACAGGCACATGGATAAAACAGGAGGAGTCATTCACCATCCGAGGAAAGCACTGCGTCCATCAATTTACAGGTCACTAGAGACAATTTCTTTCTCTCCAAAATGATAGCTGTTATTTGCCAAAACTTTTGGGTGTCGGACGCCCGCCATCCATCAGAGGTTGCTGGCACTCGCAATGCCACTGGAGCAGCCTCCTGAAAGGGTTCAAACTTGTTCCAGGCTTCTCTCTATCTCTCTCTGTTTTGTGTCCTCAGACATCTTACACAGCCCTGTGGCACCACGACCACCATGGATCAACCCCTTCCTATAACTTGACTGCTGCTGAGCGCCAATGTTTGAAGGCAGACTGAAACTTTCGACCTGCGCATGCCTTGCTACAAGAGATCAATGAAATTTATCCTCCATCGCTGCCAGAGAAAAAAGCCCGCCAGCCAGCAGATCCTTGACAAAATCACACGGAACTGAAGGGAGCTCAGCAGCATAAAACCAACACAGAAAATGACAAGCTTGAGAAACGTGGGGAACAAAATGAGAAAGGGCAACGAAGTCAAATACAATCTGTAGTCGTCCGCAGTCTCTCCTTGAAATGGTGCAATCTGTGACTGTCAGTGCTACAGTGGTACCACTTTCTACACAAGCTGACCCCGACGGCTCGCGCATAGCCGCAACTGCTGCGACTGGTACCTGTTGCTCAGCTTTCACACATTCACACATTCCGGTTCAGTCGGTTCAGTTCTCTCTCCACTTCCCTGTCCAGCTCCCTGTCTGGACCTGACCTTGTCCCTCTGGCGAGGTAAGGGAAACATGAAAACTAGGTGACATCTTCAAACATCAACATATTCAATAAATAAATTGTATCAACGTAAAACAGTGACTCAACTTCACAAGTACGCAAAACAGTCCTGCCTGTACCAAGTGCTGCATGCGGCGGGGGAAGGATCGCATATTGCAATCCCAAATGTGCTGCCTGCGTGTGCGTTTACACTTCATAAAATTGATCATGGACTGAATGACCTGTGTACCGCTACACGAGTCTAATCCAAAAGCGAATTCAAACATCTGACTATGTCAATGGACAAAAAGCGAACAAAACACCACACTCCACTCTGTCTTCTTCCACGATGCAGCTGATCTAAAGTGGTTCTTGCTTTTTTGCTGGTCTAGGCTGTTCGTGCTCGAGCTGTCCACTCGTACTTGTGATTGGCCTCACGCGAGCCAAAGAATTACAAAATTACAAAACAAAGCACTGGCTTCGAGATACTTCGGGAAGTGTGTGAAAACATGTGCTCCTCTCTTCTAAGGTTTTCCCCTCCTGCTTACACTGTGACCTTAACACAAATCTGTGTCTTAATGACCAACAGTCATTTACTTGTAGGACACACCGAAATGTATGGTGCAATACGGTGGGTTTATATTATATATATATATATACGCATACTGTATATATATATACATACGTGTATGCATGTAATTGTATGTATATATGGTGGGAAAGTGATGCAAAGCGGTCGTTGGCAAGCTTAGTGAGTGGAGCCCATGTGCCTCACCCATCCGAAAGTGTGCCTCTTGAAAGGGTTGCAGCAGCAGCGAGCAAGCATCGCAAGCAACGCGATTTCGCGCGTGCCAAGAAAGCCTGAGCAAATTCGTTCTCAGGAAACTACAGCTTTACTAAACACAGATGCCCAGATCAACTCTCGAAAAGAATCAACATAAGCCCCTTCGATGTCAGGTGAAAGTTTGAATCAGATCTCCGGGCCCTACATCTGCATTGAAGGGGCTAGAATGCCCTCACTATTCTTTCTGTCATGCGCACACTTGGAAGCGGCCATCCAGAAGCAGACGCTACAAATACTGGGCCAATTGATACGGAGACTACAGAAAACAATGTTGATGTAATCAGACATGCTCTCCATTCTGGCTGCACCATTGCTAGATGCATTTAGCATATCCATGCATATCTACAATAGCATCGCAATGCATCGCACCAGGGCCACGGCAGAAGGTCGAGGAAATCGCATAACACCCACTGGACCTTTGATGCATCCTGTCAAGGCGCAAAGTGTACTGAAAGACACGGGAAGCATCGGGAAGACTGTGATAAGTTGACTTTATCCCAAAGCACTACTCTATCTATATAGAGGGGTCGGGACCCCAAAAGATAAGATATACATATGTTACAACATTTAATTTTACATATGTTTGAAACATTTTCTGACGCAAAGCTCTGCATTTGTTTGCATTTGTCGTGGCATTTATTTGCATTTGTTGTTGCATTTGTTTGCATTTGTTTGCATTTGTTTGCATTTGTTTGCATTTGTTTGCATTTGTTTGCATTTGTTGTGGCATTTGTTTGCATTTGTTGTGGCATTTGTTCGCATTTGTTCGCATTTGTTCGCATTTGTTCGCATTTGTTGTGGCATTTGTTTGCATTTGTTGTGGCATTTGTTTAGATTTGCTCTGCAAATATATGTTTGCAAATGTACTGACACAAGCCGTAAATTTTGGAACAAATGTAGTATATGTGTAAATAAATGCAACAACAAACGCATAAGATCTTATTTTGTGAAGATAAGATCTTATTTCGTATAATTACATAAAATAACTTCTTATGTTCTTAAAATAAGATATTCTGTATTTGTTGTCGCATATGTTTGCATGTATTTTTGCATTTGTTTGCATTTGTCGTGTCATAAATTATATGTATTACTACAAATTACGGTCCAATAAGAGCACATCTGTCGAGCATGTACCATATATGTAGCCACAAATGTCGAGCACGTAAGGGTAAATGCAAAGACATATGATATGACATATGTTAAGAAATGCAAGCACAAATGTCGAGAAATGCAAGCACAAATGTCGAGAAATGCAAGCACAAATGTTGAGAAATGCAAACACACATGTTTTATATGTAAGGTGAAATGTTGAACACCTAAAAACAAATGCAAACATATATGTTTGCTTGCGTCGGTGTAATAAATGTAAAATAAATGCAGTAGCAAATGCAGTACATGCACGTATGCCTCTGTATGGGGTCTATAGAGAAGGCCTTAAAAGAGCTTTTGGATTAATGTTGGTTACTGATTAGTGTGGGGATACGGTATTGTGTCCACAGACCTCAAAATTATTCTGTTACTCTGGAAATGGTCGAGGGGTACACTATTGTGTCCACAGGATTTTGGTGTAAGTTTTTTTTCATTTTTTTCATTTTTTAGTTTTTAATTGTTTTTTATTTTATTTTAAAATTTTAAAATATTTTTTATATTTTTTTATTTTTAATTATAATAATTTTTAATTTAATTATTTTTTATTTTATTTTAAATTATTCTTTATTTTTATTTTTTTTTAATTAATTAATTATAATAATTTTTAATTTAATTATTTTTTATTTTATTTTAAATTATTTAATTATTTTTTATTTTTAATAATATTTTTTTTTAATTTAATTATTTTTATTTTTAATTATATGTTTTTTAATTATATGTTTTTATTATTTTGTAAAATTGTGTCAGGATACACAATTGTGTCAGGATACACAATTGTGTCTTGGTCTTTTTTCATTTTTTTCATTTTTTAAAGCTTTTTCCTTTTACTTTTTATTTTCCAGCATTGAAATTTTCCAGATGCTTCCACAGAAAATTACTTCCAGGTACAAAATAGTGTGGTTTGTTTGGAGGGTACACTATTGTGTCCAGCTGCTTTCCTGGGTCATGATTTTTTTGATTTTTTCAATCATTTCCTTTACCTTTTCCTTTGCTAGCTAAAGTGTTTTCCTTTCAATTAATTTCTTTCTTAGTTTCTTTCATTTGAAATTCTCAGAAATGCCCAGTTTCCCAAAATATATGATGCCTTATTAAAACCCAATTAAAAAACATCACTCCAACAATTTTTCAAGGGGGTAGTCCATGAGCAACCCTGATACAGAATAGTGTGGTTTGTTTGGAGGGTACACTATTGTGTCCAGCTGCTTTCCTGAGGTCATGATTTTTTTTTTCAATCATTTCCTTTACCTTTTCCTTTGCTAGCTAAAGCGTTTTCCTTTCAATTAATTTCTTTCTTAGTTTCTTTCATTTGAAATTCTCAGAAATGACCAGTTTCCCAAAATATATGATGCCTTATTAAAACCCAAGTAAAAAACATGACTCAAACAATTTTTCAAGGTGGTAGTCCATGAGCAACCCTGATACAGAATAGTGTGGTTTGTTTGGAGGGTACACTATTGTGTCCAGCTGCTTTCCTGAGGTCATGATTTTTTGGATTTTTTCAATCATTTCCTTTACATTTTCCTTTGCTAGCTAAAGCGTTTTCCTTTCAAATAATTTCTTTCTTAGTTTCTTTCATTTGAAATTCTCAGAAATGACCAGTTTCCCAAAATATATGATGCCTTATTAAAACCCAATTAAGAAACATGACTCAAACAATTTTTCAAGGGAGTAGTCCATGAGCAACCCTGATACAGAATAGTGTGGTTTGTTTGGAGGGTACACTATTGTGTCCAGCTGCTTTCCTGAGGTCATGATTTTTTTTTGATTTTTTCAATCATTTCCTTTACCTTTTCCTTTGCTAGCTAAAGTTTTTTTCCTTTTAATTAATTCCTTTCTTAGCTTCTTTCATTTGAAATTCTCAGAAGCCCCCAATTTCCCAACATATATGATGCCTTATTAAAACCCAATTAAAAAACATCACCCAAACAATTTTTCAAGGGGGTAGTCCATGAGCAACCCTGATACACAATAGTGTGGTTTGTTTGAGGGTACACTATTGTGTCCAGCTGCTTCCTGATGTGTTTTTTTTCAACCATTTCCTTTCCCTTTTCCTTTGCTAAAGTTTTTTCCTTTTAATTACTTAGCTTCATTCTTCTTGGAATCAAAACCAAAGGCTTTCCAAAGGATTAGTTTCAGCTAACCAAACAAACACATGAATGATCATGATACACAATAGTATGGTTTGTTTGAGGGTACACTATTGTGTCCAACTGCTTCCTGAGGTGAGTTTGTCTTTAAACATTCCCTGTCTTCCTTTTAATTTCAGTAATTACTTTCTTAGTTTCATTTGAAATTTTCAAAAATTCTCAGTTAGTTAATTATATAATTAATTAATTATAGCAATTGCTGGTTCCTTCTGCTGAGCTCAACCTTAGTCATTGGAAGTTTACCCAATCCCATCACTTTCCCAAACTTGTTTTTGGCCATGCATTTTGCTCATAGTGCTTTGCTGAGGCATACTGAGCCTTGCTCAGGCCAAAGTTGAAAAAACCATTGAAGCTGGCTGAGGTAGAACATGATGTAGATCATGCTGAGATCCTGTCAGGGACAAAATGCTGAAAGCAAAACATTCAACTGTTTGGCACTAATTAATCTCATTGCATATTGTTCATTTAATACTTACTCAAAAAAAGTAAGTAACTACACATCATTGTGTGTTAAACAAATTGACTATGCAGTCAAATGCATCCAACAATTAACATACTTAATTACTGTAGAAGCCCTCCACATCCCTTCAGAGCTGCACACTTTTTTCCTTAGCTTGAAGCTGCATGGATTGCTTGTGATAGCAAATTTTAAAAAAGACACTGAGATTTTACTCAGTGATGCTGATGCTTTCAGTCAGCTGCCTTGCTCTTATCAGAATGCTCCTCAGCATCTTCTTGCTGCTCACTGCTCTTAGAAGGCTGAGAATCTCCCTGAGTTTCCTGTTGTTTCTCCTCCAAAACTTGAATAATCTGATCATCAGTGAGTTTAAGCTTTTTTCTGATCTGATCAAATTTGAGTGCTAAGTCAATTTTTTCCTGATCCTCAGATTGGATGCTGCTGCTTCCTGAGCTATTCTTCTTCTTCTCTTCCTCTTTCTGAGCCATGCATTTGATGAGCTTCTGCTTAGCATCATCAAACTTGATCTTAGTCTCATGCCACTGTTTCATGAGGACCTCCATGAGCTCAATGTCTTTTTTGAGCTTCTGAGCAGTTG